ACACAAACACACACACACACACACACACACACACACACACACAGGGTTGTCCGGCTGGACCGGCTCCGTTGGAGATCGCGGCCGTTTACGCTGACTTGTGAGAAATCTTTCCATTTTCGATCTGTGTTCACATACTGAGAATTATAACAACATTAGCCAAGTAACAGTTCGCGCTTTAACTTACAATGACCCCTGATAGATCTCGCGAGAATGTGTATAAATATATATAGATACATTTTCATAACAAAACAATGGGGTTGCTAAGCCGTTGCTAGGCCAATTGTTGGAGTTGCTATAGCAACTCCCAGCTACCCCCTGGCGCCGTCCCTGGTTGTTAAGAGTTACTTTGTCAACCTTAGAGCGTTTTAGATTAGTCTTGAGGTTGTTTTAACATTAAGATGTATTTGTTCATATTTTGTCTGTTAAGGCATCTTAAACAAGACACAAGCTTCACACCACTTCCTGCATGATGTCCAATAGCTGACTCTTTGCTCTGACCTTCTTGTGGTGCAGCAAGCAGGGATCAATCAGGTAGCACATTATTATTCATTATGATCCAGGGTTCATTGTACACACTCTCATTAGTATACGAATCTCTTACCTTGGAGTTTGGTTGTATAATCTTGTCTTTTTGGTCAGTTAATTCATTTTAATTTAATCACCAGAGCCTAAACAGAGAGCTGAAATAATTACAGAACACAGGCATTAGGTACTGTGATTACAAAGATCACTGAAGAGAAAAATTGAGGAACATTTAAACAAATGACAAAAAGTTAACACTCCACAAAAGTAAGACTATGAGGGGCGTACTGTAGACAAACATCCACCACAAACCTCCTGCTACTATAAGATTAAGTACCAACTCAATTAAACAAATGTTCTAAAACATAAAGAATGGCAATTAAAAAAACACAATAACAAGAAGTCACAAGTAACAGTTTGAAAAAACCAAAATAAAACTGAAAACAAAGTCATAAAAACATAAAAGTGCTGAAGCATTACAAGAAAGAACTGCTTCTCTCTTCAGCTTTTTTGTTGTTTTCTTTAAAGCAATATCACCAGCAGGGGAATACCAATATTTCGCAACTAAACAACACATGTAATGCAAAATAGCAGCCTTAAAGAACCTCTTATTTTTTTAGATGTATTGGGCTTTAAAGTAAAGTTGGGTTCTACTACAGTCCTGGGGGGCACTTTATTGTTAAATATCTGTTATACAATTATTTTGTGTACTGCTAAAGACTTCTGACTGTTATTGTTTGTGAAGCACAACAAACACTGGGTAGATTCAGGCCTCAGCAGGGGGCGTTTGATCTTGACAACTCTTAACGTGCATATCCATAAAGCTCTCACTGTGACTGACCCCAAAGTGTCTCGATCAGTGCGGAAAAAGTGAATTTTGACAATGAACCACTGCAGTCTGTACCCCATGTAGCCTGCAGTACCTCAGTCAACACACACTACAGAGAGAGAATACAGAATTCACAACACTACCTCAATGGAATCTCAGATTTGGTCTACGTGACATAAAGACGCCAATGCTTATTGAACCTTTTCTGCAATTTTGATTTTAATAGATTGTGCAATTTGCCCACGTGTTACGCTGACCTTGAGGTCCACCTACCAGTCATTCATATTTATGGTTGCAAGTATTTATGCAGGCACCAGAGACTTATTATAATCTCTAGCACATAATATCTAGCAATTAAGCCTGGCTTCCTACCTAAATGTCTATGAGCTGACGATCTGGTAAAAAAATCCAGAGTAGTAAGAAGAAAACTGACGTTCCTTTGGGCTGAATTTGGTAATACATGCGTCGTCATGGTGGAAATCCATCACATGACAAAGAAAGTACTGCTTCTGGACTTTCCTCATGGAGATGATGAAGCTGTAGTAGAGCAAGCATTTTCGCATTTGTAGCAAAGTAGAAGAACACTGTGCTGCTCAAGGGCAGCATACTACATGGTGGTGCATGGTGTAAACAGTGATATCACACACTGCCCAGAATATACAGTAGTTTGACTTCTTAGAATTAACATTATGCCTTTGTGGCCCAACATCTTTTTAAAGCTTTTATATCCATGCAAGCAAACACATAGTAGTTGTATTGGTGTTAAAGTGCTAAAGACATTAGGGAAAAAACGTAGAACTACGGTTTAAAAACTTGACATAAGAGTAAAGCTGTATTCACATGTTACGCGACTTTCTCTTTGCTCATCGCGAGGTTGGGCGCAGGGCCTTGTGATGAAAATAGCTAGTAAAGTTTCCTTTCTTTGATTATCTCCCCTGCTAGCTTGCCACTACATACAGCTGTTATCTGAATTCGTTCAGCAGAAACCTAGGTAGCTCTTTTGCCTTGTTCGACGACACAGCTCTTTCCATACAGTAAATACTCAACAGCAAGGTCAGCATAGAGCCTTTTTGCAACTTGTCATGTGAATGCAGCTTAAGGTTTCCAGATAACATAGGTCCAGACAAGTGATCTGGGCTGAGCCTGCTCCCAGAGTTTCATAAAATGTTATTTTAATGAAAGGAAGATTCATGCTCTCAAACTTTTCCGAATGAGCTTGTCACTTCTCAACATTCAGGGTCCGCCAGCTGATCCAATGAGCTTTTCTGTCTTGGTTATGATAGATATCGTCTTAAGTACGCAGCCAATAACAAGCCTCTCCATTTCTCCTGTGACATCACCAGTGTTTTCTGTATAGTTGAAATATATTATTATATATTACATTATTAATATATACACACATGGTTCATTGGCTTTTACCCGTGACGACCACATACAACAGGATGCGACCACTCCTCATTTGAAAGAGTTGAAAATGATTTTATTTGAATATTTTACATATTGCAGTATCTGCTCATGGGAAGAGTAATGCTCAGCTCTAGTGTAAGATGCTGCAGTCATCGTTACTAACTCTGATGTGTTAAAAGTGGTCATAGTTGACGTTCATCTTGTCCATTACCTCTAAAGTCTTTGACAACATTTACTATTCTAAGCGCTCTGAAAAAAATGACTCTGTTTTACAGGAAGTGATAGGTTTCATGTTTCACTTTTTGTGAGTAGAAGCCCAGCATAGTGAGCAGGGGTAGTAACATCTATTCTTAACTCCCCTGAGGGCTTCACACATCTGCTTGGGGCCTCTCCTTTTACTGGATTCATGTTAAACACTCTGAGCGCAGTCACATGGTAGCAGCACGCTCTATTCTGTCTCACTGGCTGCACTGCAGTGCTATAAAAGTACTCACCTCCTTTACTCCTTTACGCAGTCCAAAATACTCCACTTAAAGGTAAAGTCTTGAGTTAAAGTGTTACTAAGTTATCGTCCTGAATGCCTCTTGTACGAGTGTCTCATAATTACAGAATATTATATTTTTCTTATTTTTCAATAACAAATATGTAGGGTATAGTGTGCAGCGAGGCGGTCATTAATGAAAGAGAACACCAACAAGGTGATCAGGATCCCGCTGCTCATTATCCTGCTTACTACATGGCTCCCTACTAAATAAATCAACGACTTGACACATAATATTGATTTTTAAATAATTGTATTGCTTCTGCTAAGAGAAAATGGTCCGTTCCTCTGCGTACCAACGGCTGGAACTGTGGCAAAAGCAATGTAACTTAAAATGACGGCAGCAGTGTTCGAGGTTCTGTTCGAAAATACATCATAGACGCATTATATTTTATTTTGTGCATATTAGAAACGGAGTTGGCGACACTAAGACTGCAATATAATGTTTATGTAGCAATAATACACATGACATGTCTCCAGTACCGATAAAAAGACCGATAAGGTCGGAGTTTAACGGTACCACGGTCTTTAATAATTCAGCCCCGGGGCTCGGTACCCATCCCTATACTCAGGTTCTATTTCTGACTCAGCTGTGTGGAAAAGCTGTTACATCCTGGAGTTGATGAAAGAACATTGTGCATAATAAGATTTCAGTCACAGCGTGATTCGCACATCAAACAGCACGCGTGATTATAGTGAGTGTACTTCTTCACCGTGTTGCACTGTGTGGTGTCCGTGATTCATTAAAGTTTAAAAAAGATTCCCTCCCCTTCCTTTTTTTCTTATTTTCACAATTTATATTCATTCTCCTGTGATGTATTAGGTCTGTTGTATGTACAAAATAAATACAAAAATACAGAGCTAAGGGAAGGTGTCTATAATCAGAGGAAAACCTTTGAAATGATTGGGTTAGTCGTACATTTTAGCAGGAATGTTAAGAAAAAAATCTAATACCTGCCCCAATTTAAAAAGCCATGCTTTTGTGAGAAAAGGCATCTTGAGAGACATTTTAATTTTTTTCAATTCTCACTACACCACAGACACTGCTGATAGAAAAGGGACGTGAGTGAGGAGGCATAACGGTATATAACATCCTTCCATTGCGTTTTACTTGTGATGCGACAAAGTGGCAACCTCATCAAGATCAGCATGTTGTTGGTCATTTCTTGTGAATGGGCCTGCTTCGCTGCAATGTCTCTTCAAAGTCAAGATGCCTATGATAATATGTTGATTCTGGCAGAAATCACAAGTATGTTTGATTATTGTATATCATCCTCTGAAGGCAAAATACATCGCTCAAAGTGGTGTGATGAGGTTGATCCAACCTTTAAAATGAAGTGACGTATTTCTCGGGCCAGAATTAAGACACTTTTTTTTAGCCTTTGCTGACCATTTACATGCACTAAAACCTATATAACACACTACAGGCAAGGGAAAACCCCAATAAGCACATATATATAATGGGGTCTTTTGAGATATGTAAAAATTGAAAGAAAAAAAGTTTAACTAATAGAACAGTTGATCTCAAATAAAAGTTGGTATTTTAATAAGGGTCAGTACGGACAAATGTCATGTACAATAAAGTCAAAATAAAATGTTTTGACAGTAGCTGAACATCAATTAGGAAAAACTGGTTAAGTACATCTTGTTATAAATAATTATTGAATAAAAAATAATTGATTCCACATGTTTGTGTTTCAGATGTTAACTGGTGTCCTGAAGCACACTCCACCTCCGGCCTCCGCTGCAGCCTGCTCCTCCGCCTCAGACCAAAAGAGTAACGCACAAAACACAGTTCCCACAATCCCACGGGGCCACCTGGTTGTGGGCCCCAAAGACCAGCTCCGCCTCCTCACCCCCGTGGGCAGCACGGCGACGTCCAATCACTGCGCGGTGGCCGGGGCCCATGCCGCCAAACACTCGGGAGGGGCCTCGCGACCCCCTTCATCCCTGAGCGAGGAGGACGATGGAGGGGTGGAGGAGGCAGTGGTGAAGAAAGAAACGAAAGAAAAAGGACAAGAGAGAACGTGAGAAGAGAAGAAGGGGAAGCGGAGGAAAGGGAAAGCACCAAACCAAGAAACGGAGGGAGGAGAGGTTGACCACGGTGGTCACTCTGAGGGAAGAGCAAGGAGCCCAAGGAAGGAAGGAGAGAAAGGAGCGAAGGACCAAGGGGAAGGAGGGGAGGACGGAGCTGAAGGCTGTGCGGGGGGGAGGACCACGGTGGTCCCAGTGCCTGTACCTGTTAAGGTGCCCGGCAAGAGAGGGAGGAAACCCAAGGTCAAAATCATACCTCCTGTACCACCAAGTCAAGGTAAGACTGTGTGTGTGTGTGTGTGTGTGTGTGTGTTGTTTGTGTTGTGTGTGTGTGTGTGTGTTGTGTGTGTGTGTTGTGTGTGTGTGTGTGTGTGTGTGTGTGTGTGTGTGTGTGTGTGTGTGTGTGTGTGTGTGTGTGGTGTGTGTGTGTGTGTGTGTGTGTGTGTGTGTGTGTGTGTGGTGTGTGTGTGTGTGTGTGTGTGTGTGTGTGTGTGTGTGTGTGTGTGTGTGTGTGTGTGTGTGTGTTCACAACAAACATACCTAGACATGATGAGAGAAAAAAAACAAATACAAATGATATAAGATTTGATAATTATGACAGCAATTATTCTTTTCATAGACTAAGCAACACTCCATTTATAAAAAAAGAAAGACTTCATATGACAAAATGATCATAATTATCATTCCTGTAATAAAGGGTATAGATCTGTTATGATCTCCTGGATTTTAGAGGGTTTTTCACACCCTTTACCCATTTTATTTATTTATAGTCAGGGCTTGTGTAAAAAGCAGTTGAAATATAAGGCTTAATACTACATTTGAATGACATAGTAGTAACAATATGAAATGATATTTAACTGCACAAGATTAAATCAACAATGTGACTGTCACAATATTTGTTGTCGCCTTAAATTCCCTTGAACCAGGTTGAGCCTTAGCTGCATTTAAAACGTTTCCTTTGATCCAGACAGACTTTTGATGGTACCTCAGAAGTGTCTCTCTATGTGTGTGTTTGTGTTTCCTCCCGGTTGAGTCAAAAACCAAAGAGAAACTTCATAAGAGTCTCACATCGAGCATCAAGGCCATTGGATTTCCTCAGTTATTGGAAGACACAGTCGATAACTGTTTTTTAAATGTCCTTAAATTATGCTCAGATAAAACTAAGCCTTATCTCAATGTGATTATTATATTTAAATAAGTCTGAGTGTTTGTGCTTGTGTGTTTGTGTGTGTGCATGTTTTTGTACGCTGTTGGATGCATTAGCTGTCTTTTAAAGCTGCAAAATTGATTTATTTTGTAAATATAAAATGAATCAAATTGATCAATTTATTCAGCAGGGCTCGGTCATATCTTTATTCAATATTCAAAATATAAAAATATATATATTTATAACATCAATAGTGTTGTAGGACACCACTCCTCATCATAAACAGAGATGATGCCAAATGTATTTAAAACATGGACTATATGAATTGTATGAATTACGAACAGTATGTGTTATTACACCAGCTAAAGGCTTTAGTGAATGCCAATAAGGATGCAAATGGAAAAGGACAAGGTCACAGTGTCCTTTAATATGAATCGAAAGGATGATCAGGTTTGCATAGTAACTAACATTTTCCAATATTTCTATATATTTGAAAGACTCTCCAATATTTTTTTAATATCTCAAAAACACGAAAGCATTTTTTTCAAACGCTGGTTCTGCATCTTAGTGAGACACACAGAGATCTAAAATAAAATCCCTACAGAGAAGTGTTCTTTGGATTTAACCTAGAAATGTACAATTTTCTACACACTGTCAAATGATCCATAACCAAACAATGGTCACTGCTAACCCGGATGTTGGCCTGTGTGGAGATCCAAATGTTCAATATACTTAAATAAATGAATAACTGTGAAATAATGTAATCGCATGTATGAATTGTAGTAAGCAAATACATTAAACTATCTCTGAAACTATTTAAGAAATGATTACTTTTTTAATTAAATAATAGTTTAATAGGATTTTTTATTTATAATACAATATAATATAATAACAGTATAACACTTAACATGTTACATTTTGTGACAGTTGTTCTGCAATATACTCTCATATTTGGGCACATGAGCCCTGTCTCTTAAGCACCTCATCTCAACAACTGCTACCAGTATTAGCCAGCTACCATCTGTTAGCTTCAGGAACAACAATGTCAGAGTAATGCTGAATCAGCTGTTTGTCTGCTGGATCCCAGAATGAACCGCTTTGATTATCCCTGACTGTTCCATCTAGTGCCCCCAGCAGGTCAAAGTTTCTCTTATCCAGTGAAATATTTTAATATAATAAAGGATCAGATGTTCTCTCTTCTCTGAAAGCTGTACTGTTCTGTAGGCTAATACTCTAAGTGTGAATCTATACGCCGACTGCCTGAATCTGCTGTATGGTTTTCACTGTCTTTGCTTCATTTGTTCTGTTTTTATTTCAGTAGGTTCATAAAATAGTGTGTGTGAGCTTAACTGTGTCTATTCAAATAAAACGGAGCATTTTGCCGTCAGCTCAGATTTTATTTCTGCTTTTTTAAACTGTAGTATGTGATCATGTGTTTCAGTGTTGGTGTATAGGCCTCTGTCTGAATATACTGAATGAAAGGCAGGTTTTCCTATCAATAAAATCTCCGGATAGAAAAATAATGGTCAAAATGATGTTCAAGTAAAAAATGGCTAAAGATACATTGAAATTGTCACCAATCCCATAAAATGCTCTTGCTTTCTCTTGCTTTCTCTTGCTCTCTCTTGCTCTCTCTTGCTCTCTCTTGCTTTCTCTTGCTTTCTCTTGCTCTCTCTTGCTCTCTCTTGCTCTCTCTTGCTCTCTCTTGCTCTCTCTTGCTCTCTCTTGCTCTCTCTTGCTTTCTCTTGCTTTCTCTTGCTTTCTCTTGCTTTCTCTTGCTTTCTCTTGCTTTCTCTTGCTTTCTCTTGCTCTCTCTTGCTTTCTCTTGCTCTCTCTTGCTTATGTCCATGTCCTCTCTTGTTTTTAACTCCCCTCTCCAACCACAGCACCTCCTCCTACACCAGCTGTCCACATCAAGGGGCAGGTCCACCATGACAAGAACCACAGACAGGCCAACAGCAAGACCCCCGTCCCCTCAGCGCCAAAACAGAGGGGCCGCAAACCCAGGTAAGACATCCACACTGGACAGATACTTAGAGAGAGAATTATAAATGAGGAAAGGATGGAATGGTAAAGATTCAGAAGAGGCCGTGCTGGAAGAGCTCTCCAAGTGGACACTGATGGAGTGAGGCAAGCATTGAAAAGCAAGGGGGCTGTAAAGCTGTCACCCCCTACGAATGACCTAGTTCTTCTCTCCGGAGAACAAATATTTCACTTAAAGGACTCTGTTCCGGCTTTATTTTGTATCTTATTGAGCCTCAAAAGGAAGGAGATAACTACAGGGCACATACACAATATGACACCACAAGGAAGCTTTGTTTTAGTTGTTCCGAAAGTGAAATGAAACCCATTTTTGGAAATTGGATCTCTGATGTTGCTTGTGATACAATTACACTTTTAATGGATAGCATTCCTTCTCTGTGTTAGGGTCGCACACAAACAACAAGCAACTATTCTAACTGATTGACTGATAAGTTCTGTTGTATTTGTTTTAAAAAGAAAAGTAGAACAAATTGCCTGATTCCATCCAGTTTGTTTTTGTCATATATGCTCGTAAACCAGAGTCTTTGGGTTATTTGGATGAGTTTAACAAGCTCTATTAATATACGATAGGACTGGGTAATGGCTGTGATGAAGAGTGGTCGTCCACCAATCAGCAGGTTGGGGGTTCGATCGTCAGTCCCTGCAGACGACATATCGATGGCCGATGGTGTGTGAATGTGTGTGAATGTCAGCTTCTCTGAACACCTTGTACGGCAGCCTCTGGATAAACGTGTGAATCAGTGAGTGCTCAATTGTAATAATAATAATAAAGCTTTATTTTTAAAGCACTTCTCATGCACAGGAGGCAGCTCAAAGTGATTTATCAATAGAACACTTGGACTTGTATATTTAAAAGCACTCTGAGGGGTCTTAATGACTGAAAAAGTGCTATTTAAAAGCAGTCCATTAACCATTAGCCCGACACAATGCCGCCGTCTTCTTACCATTCCTCTCCTTGCAGTTCTCAAGAACTGCATTTATTTTACATCCAGTAACTACAATTTTTTCTTTCAAGATTTTTGTTTGGAATATTTGGTTTTGCGTCGACGGTGGAAACACTGGGTGTTTTTGCAACTTAAAGGTCCCATGCCATGGCCATTTCTACTGATCATAATTCCATTGTTGAGGTATACTAAAATAGATTTATATTGTGCAATTTTCCAAACTCACATTGGTTTCTCATACAGCATCTCTGTATAGTATGTGTATTCACTCTCTGTCCTAAACGGCTTGTTGGAGCTCCTGCCCCCCCTCCCTATGAATCCAGTGGCCGTCTGCAAGACAGCGAGACACAGCGGAACCCAGCCCGAACACACACACACACCTGCAGCCTGGCTGGGAGTTTGTGTGTGTGCTCACACACACACACACCCGCAGCCTGGCTGGGAGTTTGTGTGTGTGCTCACAGCCTCGCCGCGTCCCGCCGTCTCAGGGAGGAGAAATCGGCGGAGCTGCAGCTGAGAAAAGATTGAGTGTGTGTGAGGAAGTCCGCGGATTGGTCAATTTGGACTTAACGTAACGGCTCCGCGGACGTAACGTAACAGCTCCACGGATTGGTCCATTTGGACCAATGGGTCCATTTGGGTATGGGCACGTCACTGTACCCAGGAAGAAAAAGAGAAATCTCCAACGAGGCGTTCTGGGGCAGCATAGACAGGTATTTTCTGTGTTAGAGTTTTACTCGCTACAGGGTGTACTTTGAGGGGTTTTGACTCTGCAGACCGTTTACATGCAGAAAAACCTTCATAACACACAAGGGGACGGGTAATAACCGGAAAAGCATGACATGGGACCTTTAAGCGTAGAGGTTTGATGTGTTTATTGCAACTTTAGAGTATTTTCTGCTCTATTTTTGACACACAGTTACGGACCGTCCACACAGCAGCGTTAAAAAAATCTTGGAGGTGGGCGTATCTGAAGCTTGGGGATTTTTTGCGAGCAAGGCACCAACAACCAATCACATGAATCTCCCGCCCGCGACATACGAAGCAAAGAAGTTTGAAGTAAACTGGATATAAACTCCCCAAACAGGTGAAAACATACCACTGTCTCTGCCACCTCCCTCCATGCCTGGCTCCTCCGGTTTATATCCCGGTAGGTAAATAGGGACTGGTCATAAAGCACCGGGTGATTCCCTACCGCTAATTTCTCCTCCATTTTTTGGAATATGAGGAAATGACCTGCGGTATGTCTCTCCCAGCATACACGCCGTTTGATTGGCTAGAGCTTGAACTGTCAGATTTGCGTACACGGGATTTGATTGGCTGACGCTTCCACCTCAGCCTCAAAAGTTGAACATTGCTCAACTTTGAATCCTGAAAATCCTGAAAATCTCCGCTCGCCTGCCCACAATGCAGTTCGGCGAAAAGTGAGGGAAAGTGACGTCACCCCATTCAAAGTGAATGGGCAGAAGCGTTTCAAGATTTTTTTAACGCTGCTGTGTAGACGGTCCGTTACACTCACAAATTGGAGCAGCTTTGACTGTGTGTGGAACAGTAGCCTTCAGAAGTGTAGATTGACCTTCCCTTGTGACATCAGATCGGGCTGTGGGCCGGACATTGAGTGACACCACAGAACTGTGACTATAGAGACGTGCAGTGATGACATGTTTGTCGGAAGGACTCCTCGGACCAAAAGTAATGGGATTTCCCCATTGGATATCGGTATATTGCAGAAAATAAGATCTGTGGCCAACAAACGTTTATAGTACTTACACATTATTGTTCAGCAGGTTAATCTTCACATTTTACCACTACTTGATGGTTTTTGAAATATAAATTAAATTGCTAGAGGTAAAAAGCTAATAAACAAAAATCATCACGGACACACAGCATCACCACCGCTAAGTTTAAGGCGAACTCGTGTCGGTGTGATGACGTTTAGTAGTTTATTTAGTCGCCTGTTAGCTACCTCTGTTTTTAAGATACATACAAGCTTCGGACATTTACCAGTGGAGTATTTACTGAGGTATTTAATGTCATAGAACAAAACAGGAAAATCTCTTCAGCTCGTGTTAACCGCAGACTTTATTTTAGGTATCTAATCACAAACGCATTCAAAAACCGTTGACTTGCAGACGAGGAAAGACTGGAAGTGTTAAAGTGCTAATTCATTTCTGGGTTTTAGGACTCATTCCTGCAATACTGCATCATTGCCAAAGTTTGGATCAATACATTTAATCTGCTATGGGATAAAAAGCGAAGTGAAAAAATATCAAAAAGCATCTTGATTCATGACTTTTAGAGTATTAGATATGTGTCATGTCAGGATACCAGTCACATTTTGTCTGATAGTCTGAATTCACTCTAAACTAGAGAGAAGTACAGATCATAAAATATATTACTGGTTGGTGTTCAAGAGAGAAACGTTGAATCAGGGTTATGATATTTTTATGTGGAAGAGATTCTGTCAGACATCTTGATATTTTAGTAGAGGAGTGAAAGAGTGGGAAGAGGAGGAACGTTGGAAATAACGTGTGAGAGATGAGTCACTGATTCAAAGTAAAAAACGGAAAGAGCAGACTGATGAGACGCAGAGAGAAAAAAGTTGTGGATGAGTTGAAAGAGAGAGAGAAGAAGTGCCGACATAAAGAAAAAAGGATGAAGGAAATGGAGAGAAGAGAGATAACAATCACTGCTGTGAAAGAGAAGGAAGGAAGATGGAGAGATTGCTGATAAAGGATGAAACGCAAGAGAGGTAAGGATATGAAAGAAAGGAATAAGGATAAGATGGAAGGAGATGGAAAATGGATCAAAATGTTTGATAAAGGAGGCATTGATATAAGGAAGCCTGGTGAACTTTGCTGAGTCAAGGTCATCTCCAGGTCGAGCTCCGGTATCAGGGGCCTCATTTATAACGCCTTGCGTAGGATTGACGTAGGAAGGTTGCTTACGTAGTACAAAGCACAAAAATAGGTACAGAAATGTTCCGCCATTTTCCGATTCACAAAACTTTGCGTACCGGCGAGGGAAGTGCGTACGGCACTCCCTACGCCTGTTTCCCTTGATAAATCACAATCGACTCGTAACGCCCATATTTGCCTATACATAGTCAAAGAAACGCCCATTCATTCATTCATTTTGACTGACTGCATGAAGAAGATCACAGGAAATGACGACAGAACAGCTAAAAAAGACATCTCGCACCGTGTCAGATTTTGGTTATTGTGGGGAGGTCGAGATAAATCATATTGTTTGGTGGATGCAGTTTGAACCAGAGTAGCAGCATGGAGGTCGGATCGTCACCAAAATAAATAAATAAGTGGTCCGAAAAAAGTGAATGACAAAACAAATACACATAACCTTCCTCAGGCAGTGTGTTTGTCCCGGGGACAGGAGACACCCCCTTGATGAGAAACTGTAAGAAATGATCGGGAATCCCTCCGGAGTGGAGTCATGACGACTGGATCTGAATTATTTTTGTTGTATTTGGTGGTTTGTGTTCCAGCTGTCGATCAGCAACTATATATACATAATCCACCAGTTAAAGGAAATACAACTAATGTGTTGTGTTATATTAGCTGTACAATTTACCACATATGGTGTTCTTAGTTTCCATACCTCCTGTGTTTTACGAGCGACTTATCAAGTCTTGGCAAACGGCATAAAACACGATTAAACGTGATAGTATATAAAACCATGCTCGTATCTACAACCTATAGAAATGCAAAACGGCGTCAGTTTAGACGTAATTCTGTCCTCCTGCTTACCGCATCATTTATGAGAAAACATTTCATAACATTAACACAACATATTCGAGGTGGTTTTAAATAGCATATCCGTATTTATTTATTTCTCCAAGTTATGTTTTTGTGTGCACTGAGGAGTCTCAAACAGGCGTTTGTTTAATCATTTAAAGATTGGCTTTAATCAATGTTTGAAAATGAATTCTTCATATTTGATAAATGAGAGGTAACATTTTATTTATGGTATTATTTCCACATATTTCTCTCCATTCTTCCTTCTGCCAACGGTGTCGCAGTTTCTCGTCTCTCCCGTTTGTGTGCTTAGTGCGTACGCATGGGTTAGAGTTTGCGTGGAGGACAGCACATTTTCCCGTCAAGTTAGTATTTTATAAATCGCAAACATTGCGTAGAAACTGGCGTACGCCATTTTTTGAGCGTATATCCCTTTATAAATGAGGCCCCTGGTCATGTTTTGTTCGTTCACAAGAAGATGATAGAAGTGGTCATGCAGTGCGCTGCAGTTTTAAATCCATCTTAATATGTTGCTTTGTCTTCCCTCCCTGCTCACTCATTAACAAGGACAGCAGTTCTATCTCCTCTGCCACAGTTTCCAGTTACGTCTTGACTTCACCCGTCGCTCGGCTGTTAACATGCCAGCTTCATTTTTGAATACCAAATATATCTCTGATGGTCTGAGAGTCTGATTATAGCAATTTGAAGATCTGGCAAACCTCACAGGTGTCATGGAGGAAAACATACCAATTCAAATGAATAATTGTGCTTAAAATAATCACATATGTGTACAAATTACATAATGGACATTGTTTACAAATATAAAATAAACTTGTATTTACTCTTGAGAGATTAATAACATATTTACTTTTCTTCTTGGCAGGAACACTTTAATAGTTTTAATATGCATGCAGTTACTGCCTGCATAAAGTAATTCGACACATTTTTGTGGAAAACTCAATTATACTCTCACCGGCACATTTAATGCTCTTTTTTTCATTCTTTATTTTATTTATTTATATTGATTTTGTATAAGTTGTAACTTTATGCATTATATATGAACATCTTCTAGAAAAATGCTGTTGTTTTAATGCTTAACAAAGGTCTGATATAGTTCTGTGTATAAGTGATGCTTCACACACAGGGTCTCGGTGTGCGATCCATCAGTGACAGCCTTCTCTTGGTGGGGTCAGACGGTCAAACGCATGTTCAGCAAAGTGGGTCAAACTATCTATCTTTGTCTGTAGAAAAGACATATGAATGGACAGCTCCCTCTGAGAGAAGCTGCTTCATGTGATGAAGAGGCATGTGCATTTGTGTCACACTTTCTCACTGCTTTTCATTCAGCGGACACATCAGGCTCTCTGTGCACATACACACAAGCATCAGACATTTATTTGGGACAGATTTAAATACCAAATTAAATTACATTTGAACGTCTATTCTTCTATCTCTTAGATTTAAAAATATAGCATCATTCACTTAATTATATAAACAAACATTATATCAAAAATTAATATTACAATTGATCAATTCTTCCTCTTTCTGTTACAGAGTTATTTTGTACTAGTCTTGCCCTCAGGCCCTGCATGTATAAATTACCTTTTTCTTTTTTTAATCAAATGTAATTAAATAGACCAGCTAATACTTGTATGAAACTCATAATACCTAATGCTCATGGGTGAACCTAGTGTAAGAAATTAAGAGCTAATACCTCAAATGTTTTGATTTTAGCTACAAAAAACGTGTTCAATTAGAAGTCAGCAGTTTGGTTTCTGGATCATTTTTCTCCCTTCTTCCCATCTTAATCAATTGTTTTTGACTGAGTGGATGTATTTATCTTAAATGTCCTGTTACTTAAAAACCCAATGAGTCCAAATCAAATCCCTGTATGCTTTAATGAAGTGCCGCCTGAAAGGATATGCCTTTCACTCAGATATGTCACACAGCATAACCTAAAGCTGCTCTGCCATTGCCTCTGTCTGTAAGAAAAGCGTCTGTCAGCTGAATGTGTCACACGCATGCAAATGAATGATTAGATCACCACTTCCAAAGACATGTAGTAAGCCGGGACACTTTCATATTCATGCTTTGATTCTGGTCCAAATCGTGCTCCGGCCCTGTGGCCTGCTTTTCACAATCAGATTCACAAAATTGTATTTAACGCAGAGAAATTGGGTTTTGTGACAGTTGCTCCATTTAAGAATGAAATACAAATAAAAAATAAGAATAAACAGAAACAAAGAAATAGAGTAAAAGCTATTTTCATAGTATTCTCTTTATATGTGCGATAAAAAGATCAAATAAAAATAATGGTATTTACATACTGTAAACTGTAAAAACGTAAGTAAAATGACCAATACAATTCAAATAAAGAAATACTTAAAAATATTTATACAAACAAAGAAAGTTAAAGCACAGTGTCAAACAAAAATATAAAATAAAAGTATTTTGTAAAAAAACAGTAATATAATATGTACTGTATATTCCAAGCTATATATATAGTGTTGTATGAGCATTAAAAGTTCTTGATGCTGGAAAGGCTTTGTCTGATGATGATGTTAGAAGTTAGCGAGAGTCTAGTTCCCCAGCCAGTTCTCCTCAGTGATTGGCAGGTGGTTGTCCTTTGTCCTGATGATTAGAAATAAGCAATACTAGAACAAAGTGAGGATAAAACATTTGTTCTGTCTTAACCAGCTCTGTATAAATCCTCAGGGAGCAGAGGAGTGTCAGCTGCTGTTAATTACTCACCAGAGTTCCTCTCCCCCAGAGATCCAGGCGCAGCGCCGGTGGAGAAGAAGAAGAAGGGCAAGAGGAGAAACCAGGAGCAGGCTGCCAGGGAGGGGGCGGAGAGTGACGACACTACCTCAACGCCAGCCCCCAACCTGGGTGGAGAGGAGAGCCAAGAACCCCTGGATCACACGGTGAGTGGTCCTGGAGACACTGCACACTGTGGGCTTTATGGAACAAACTAAATCACATTATATAAACATTAATGTTTTATTTGATGCCTGCAACACATTCCAATAAAGCTGGGACAGGGGCATGTTTACCACTGTGTTACATCACCTTTCTTTTACGACTTCAGTTGCTCAACAGTCCGGGGTCCCGCTTGTCGTGTTTTGCACTTCATAATGCGCCACACATTTTCAATGGGAGACAGGTCTGAACTGCAGGCAGGCCAGTCTAGTAACCCCACTCTTTAACTACGAAACCACACTGTTGCATTGCAATACGTGCAGAATGTGGCTTGGCATTGTCTTGCTGAAATAAGCAGGGACGCTCCTGAAAAAGACATCGCTTGGATGGCAGAAAATGTCGCTTCAAAACCTTAATGTACCTTTGACCTTTAATGGTGCTTTCACACATGTGCAAGTTACCCATGCCATTGGCACAAACACACCCCCATACCATCTTTTGAACTTTGCGCTGATAACAATCCGGATGTTACTTTTCCTCTTTAACCCTGAGGACAGGAACAATTTGAAATGTGGACTCATCAGACCACAGCATACTTTTCCACTTTGCGTCAGTCCATTTCAGATGAGCTCTTTAACTTGACTTGCTCTTGTAGATGTAGCGACGATCTGTGTTAACTGACAATGGTTTTCTGAAGTGTTCCTGAGCCCACGTGGTAATATCCTTTACAGAATGTTGTCGCTTTTTAATGCAGTGCCGCCTGAGGGATCAAAGGTCACGCCCATTAAATGTTGGTTTTCGGCCTTGTCGCTTACGTGCAGGGATTTCTCCTGATTCTCCGAATCTTTTGATATTATGGACTGTAGATGATGAAATCCCAGTTTTAGAAGCATTGTTCTAAAACTGTTGGACTATTTGCTCACGCAGTTGTTCACAAAGTGTAGAACCTCGTCCCATTCTTGCTTGTGAACGACTGAGCCTTTCGGGGACGCTTCTTTTTTACCTAATCATGACACTCACCTATTTCCAATGAACCTCTTCACCTGTGGAATGTTCCAAACAGGTGTTTTTTGAGCGTTCCTTAACTTTCCCAGTCATTTGTTGCCCCTGTCCCAGCTTGTGTGCACTGTGTTGCAGGCATCACATTCAAAATGAGTGAATATTTGCAAAAAAACATAACATCTATCACATATCTTGTCTTTGTAGTGTATTCAATTGAATATAGGTCGAAAAGGATTTGCAAATCATTGTATTCTGTTTTAATTTCCAAACTTCATAGGAATTGGGGTTTGTAAGTTAATGTACAAATGTGCTTCTGTCCTTTCTTTGTTTGCTTCTTGATCATATCCTGTTTCATTTGCTAACATCGTCCTGCCTCACTTTATTCTCTGTGCTGTATTTATCTCCTTTCTGCTCTTTCACCTTAATATTGGTCTTGTCCTTTTTCTGGCTCACATCCCCTTTTCCTATCTACTTCCTCTCACACTTCCCCCTCCATTAACACTAATATCTCAGTGTATTGTATCCTCTATTTCCACGTAGATCCATTTGTCTTCCTGACTCTCTTCTTTTCCTTCTTCATCCTTATTCATACTGTTATCACACTTTTCTCTCCCCTTTTCCGTTTGACTGACCTGTCGTTTCCTCCTGTTGTTCAGAAGCGGCGTTCTGGACGTCAGGTGAAGAGGAGGAAGTATAACGAGGACCTGGACTTCAAGGTGGTGGACGATGATGGAGAGACTATCGCAGTTCTTGGAGCCGGTCGCATCTCAGCGCTCAACGCCACGGCGCTGGCATGGCAGGCGGAGGTGGGGAGGACACACACTAACCCCTTTGTTCATGTTGTATTGCTCCGCTCCTCTCTCCTTTCAGTTTCTCTCCTCAATGAACAAGTTATATAGTAGAGTAACGCAGGAGTGAGTCTTAAAACCCAGTAATGAGTCAGCATTTTACAACAAGCAGTTTCCTCGTCTCAAAGGGTTGTGGTTTGAATCCTCAAATAGGGTCTTTGGTTAGCACAAGCTTATGAGATGTTTTGTTCTATGATATAAATCAGGTCAGTAAATACCCCACTGGTGAACGATGAAGCTTTTACTTGTCTTAAAAACAGCGGTTACTAACAAGTGGCTAAATGCAACGACTGAACATTAGCCGCCTTTAGCTTAGCGGTGGTGACGCGAAGTCATGCTTCATGATTTGTTTATAGCCTAACACTAACTTTTGACTACTGGTGATTGCATTTACGTTTACACTATTAAACACGTGGTGTTAATATGTGGAGTTTATTGTGCTGAACAAAATGTATTAAGTATCATAAACATGTGTTTGCCACGGAGCTTATTTTCTTAAATAGTCCAAAATCCAATGAAAAGATCCCATTGCTCTTTGTCGAGGGAGCCCTTGTGATGCTAACATATGTCAATAGTGCATCACTCAGTGAATCAATAATATCCAGTCATTGAATAGTGTGCTGTCCACTCCGGACATGCGGGACATGAGGATGTTTCAAATCAAATATTTTCCCGGGTTTCTGTCTGTGAAATCTCTTTGGAAGCATTGAAGAATCTGACAGTCAAATTCTCATTTTTATACAATGGTGGAATTTGTAAATGTACTCAAGTAATGTACATAAGTAGAATTTTGGGGTACTTTTACATAAATACATGTTTATATAATATATAATTACTTTCTAATTTACTCAGTACTTTCCAATTGGCTCTATATTGACGAATAACAACATAAAAAACCTCTTATTTGTATATTCTAATGATATAAACAGAATATTATAATATCCTTTAATGATACAACACATTTTTAGAGCCATTCTGCACAATGAGTACTTTCATACTTTTTATACTCAGAAAATACTTGTATACTTATAATGGAGTGTTGGTTATTGTGTTATTAGTACTTTTACTTTTCCATTACTCCTTTTATATCACCACTCTCTCACCGTTTTAATGTTTGACAACAGAAAAATCTTAGTTTTTTTTAAAATGGTATCTGAATTTGGGAGATTAAAATGCTAGATTGACAGGAAAACCGACTTCCAATAAACCCTAAATTCATGAAAGTTAAAATGTTTTAGGGAGGTTTATAGTTTAATATTTTTCGTGTTTTGGATGCTGTTGTTCACGCTGCTGTTGAACTGATTTGTATCATCGATGTTGGACAAACCATTAGCTCTCAGTATGCTACATTTCCTAATGATTTCTGCCAGAATTTAGTGTAATACAGATTTTAAATGATGTGAAGGCTGCTGTGTGATCACACACTCTGTCAACTGACCTTCATCAGTGTAGGCAGCTAATGATTTCTGTCTTCCTCTCCCTCAGGAACCACCTGAGGACGAGGCCAACATCATTGAGAAAATTCTGTCTGTCAAATCAGTGAAGAAAGAGGTGAAAGACAACGGACACATACACACACACACAAACACACACACACACACACACACACACACACACACACACACACACACACACACACACACACACACACACACACACACACACACACACACACACACACACACACACACACACACACACACACACACAAATCTACTCTCCTGCTGCTCGTCACATATTTATTTCTGCTTCACTGAATCCGTCTCCCCCCTCCCCTCCCCCTCCTCTCTACAGACTTCATCATCAGAGGACCAAGTGGAGGAGACAGAGGAGTTTTATGTCAAGTACAGAAATTTGTGAGTGTCTTTTCATCGTTGCTTATTCACACCTTCACATTAGACATCTATCTGACACCCTAAATGCTTTATTTATTGTAAGTGCAGCTTCAGGAGAATCTTTCCTGTTCTGTTGTCGTTGGAGATTTTTCCAAACAGGTGTTGCACTGTTTTCAATTACTGGATTACTTTGCAATATGGTAACCTGCTATCACAGACCTTTGGTTTTGCTCATTCCTGCATGTATTTGGACTGTTAGTGTAACCTAAAGCAGGGGAAACCCATGTGGTCTTTTGGCCATGCTGGAATATTGTTTGTGAAATTGAAACATGATAAGATAGTGTTCAGTCAGCGTGAGTCTGTATCAGTTTGATGGTATACTTTTTTCATTTGGAGTCTGAGTGGGGCGGCTGTGGCTCAGGAGTTAGATGTTTGTCCTCCAATTGGAAGGTTGTTGGTTCGATCCCCAGCAGTCACCATGTGTCCTTAGACTAGATACTTGACTACACATTTCTCCCGATGCCCAGCAGTGTGTGAATCTTAGTCTCCCTGAGCACCTTGTAAAGCAGCCTCTGCCTCTGTATGAATGGGTGAATGCTGACTTGTAAATCTAAAAGCACTATGAGGGGTTGCAAAATCTGAGAAAGAGCTATATAAAAGCAGACCTTTTACCGTTTACGACAAACCTTTTATTTAGTCTGTATTGTTTACAAAGCTGTTTGTTACAGAGGCGTGTTCTCCTACCTGTACTACATACGGGGTCAGGAAGCTGAAACAAATAAGAGTTCATATATGATGTGATATGATGTAATAAGCCTATAACAGTGCCGTGGACTGTATGCATTTCTCTGAATACTTTGCTCCGGTTAATCATGTTCTGGGTTATTATGACATATTTAAGTAAGCTTGCGAACCAAAAAGGTAATTAAAAACAGATTGTTCTGTAAATGGGCCATGATACTATATTAATTTACATATTCACAGAGTCAGCGTTTTAGTGCCAGCTGTCTTTCCTGTATTCGTCAGTTTAATCCTTAAACTGTGTTTCCTTGAGCCTGGAATATGAAATTATAGCCTTAAACTCTGTGCACTGAGCTCTGATTGAACATAACTGCTCTGCAGCTGGTCAGCAAGTAAGAAGTCAACCAGTGTCGTAGGACAAACAATTCAGAAATAACCCTGGAGTGACCTCACTAACCCCAAACCCTGTTTCGTAGCACAGGTCACAGAACTGTATACTCACTCAAAGCATCACGGCCCGTCCACACAGCAGCGTTAAAAAAATCTTGGAGGTGGGTGTATCTGAAGCTTGGGGATTTTTTGCGAGCAAGGCACCAACAACCAATCACATGAATCTCCCTCCCCCGACATACGAAGCAAAAAAGCCCGAAGTAAACTGGATATAAACTCCCCAAACAGGCGAAAACCTACCACTGTCTCTGCCACCTCCCTCCATGCCTGGCTCCTCCGGTTTGTATCCCGGTAGGTAAATAGGGACTGGTCATAAAGCACCGGGTGATTCGCTACCGCTAATTTCTCCTCCATGTTTTGGAATATGAGGAAATGACCTGCGGTATGTCTCTCCCAGCTTACACGCGGTTTGATTGGCTAGCGCTTGAACTGTCAGATTTGCATAAACGGGATTTGATTGGCTGACGCTTCCACCTCAGCTTCAAAAGTTGAACATTGCTCAACTTTGAATCCTGAAAATCTCCGCTCTGCTGCCCACAATGCAGTTCGGCGAAAAGTGAGGCAAAGTGACGTCACCCCATTCAAAGTGAATGGGCAGAAGCGTTCCAAGATGTTTTAACGCTGCTGTGTGGACGGGCCGTTATAGAAATGACTTGACTTTGTTAGAGCTACTTAGTAAACAGTTTTTATGACATTGATTCCTCCCGGAGAAGTTGCCTTCACACGGCTGTGTTTGAGCAGTGGTCTTCTCTCCAGAGGAAGCTGTTTCTCTTGCTCTCACTGAGGCTCCGCTCGGGGGTCTCTGGAGACGCTCCTGCTTTGTTCCAGCACTTTGTATCTTAAAGAAAAGGTCCTATGCAGATATATCACTATTATTATCATCCTAATTTATTCCCATGGGTGATGAATAATACATGGAGAGTTTGCTTATATCAAACTGAATGGATGTGAATGTGTGTAACATTTAGGGTTTTAAAACATTATTATACATAATGCCATGTCGTCGTTGACAGCATGGTTCATGTACAGTACACTGCAGTGACATCTATATTAGTCCGTTTATAGATTGGGCCTTATGGATTCAATCATCCATGTCAAACTGTAGCCATAGTAACCACATTTGTTCTGCTTTCTCTCCCATGGACTCTTATGGGAGGCGTCCCTATTCTCCCTTGTTCGTTTACATTCAGCAGACAATGGTGCATACAGATCAACATTATAGCCAGAACCGTTTGTAGGAAACAGTGAAGGACAAACATCTTAACTTCGCTCTTTTTTATATCCCTCTATCTAAACGTTTTTCTCCCTACTGTATATGCAAAAATGGGCTTTGTGTTGAAATGATAATGGAGAGGAAAGTTACTGTGTGATTTTCCATTATATAAGTCTTATTGGATTTTTAAAACAAGCAAACTTCATACATATGCTTTACTTAATGAAAGGTGTGTTGATTATTTTGTTTTGTGTGATTTTAGTTCTTATATGCACTGCAAGTGGGCCACTCTGGAGGAGCTGGAGAAAGATCCCAGAATCCACCAGAAGATTAAACGCTTCAGGACCAAACAGGCTCAGACGAAACATCTGTTCACAGAGGTAACCATTCATCCATCCCTGTATTCTGTCCAGGCCTATCTTCTCCTTTCAAATCTGGCTGGACACATTTCTATTTAATAATGTAGCAAAGCTGTTACTGACAGTAGTTATTGGAAACATGTAAACGTGATTACTTCAGGGTCATAATGAGGGTCACACTGTCTCATAATTAACATCCAGTGTCGCTGCAAAGTGTTGAAAGTGCTGGAAAGGTCAAAAGGTTAACTCCATCATACTGTAACCAAGGCAACACCAATATTTAGAAGCCTAATTTGCCTTCAACGACTAATTTCAATTTTATGGTAGTGTTTTTTAGACTTCATTATTTTCCTATATCAAGGCTATTTTTAATAAGTATTGTTAAATCTCATTCAGAACAACACTGTTAAATAAAGAGAAATTACAAATTGTAAAAAGCAATGAAACAGAATCAGCGTTATAAGCGTTTGCTTTTATCATAATAAGGCTATTTGTTGAATGGAAGCTATTGAAAAGAATGGAAACTATATTCATATATACAATGATAATCGTCTAGCAAAACATTGAAATGTTGCGTTGATTCTGTGGCATATGTTCATATGATATGAAAGCAATGGAAAAGATAGACATTTCAATAATGAAACTGAATTTTCAAAACAATATTCGTACAAAATAGAATTAATCCTAAAAACATAGATGCTAGTCTTACTCGTTATTTTACCTTCTCTACACAGCCTTTAGAGTGGTGCAGGAAGTTCTTAAACTTGGAAATGAGTCAGCATTTTACCACTGAATACATTTCTGTGGTCAACACAAGCTCAACAGATTTTAAAGTTTTGTTCTACAACAAAAAATACGTCAGTAAATAATGCACTCATCCTCACATCGAGCATTAGTCACCTTTAGCTTATAGATGACCTGAAGTCATACAACTGTGATTTTGTATATTTATACTTCTAGCCATTGCATTTACACTTCAAAAATCATATAGTGGTGTTAATATGTGGAGATTATTGTGTAAGTATCATAAACGTGTGTTGGCCACAAATCCTAGTTTTTGCAATATTCCAAAAACCAATGGACAGATCCCATTGCTATTTCTTGAGGGAGCCTAACTTCTGGGTCAGGGTACAAAAATATGTCATCACTGCACCACTCTATTGCTTTATAAAATAGTTCCATGACCTGATAATTAATTAATGCTGAATAATGTTGTTGTTCCATCTCTATGTGTCCCCTACTCCAGTCCGATGAGGACTTATTTAACCCGGACTACGTGGAGGTGGACAGAGTGCTGGAGGTGGCTGTTACTACAGACACTGAGACTGGAGAGGTCTGTACAGGAGCACTAAAAACACACACACACACACACACACACACACACACACACACACACACACACACACACACACACACACACACACACACACACACACACACACACACACACACACGCACACGCACATGCACATGCACATGCACACGCACACACTCTCACAGCAGCGTTTGTCTGGATTGTAAATGGTTACCACTGAAGGTCCTCAGTGTGGGGGTGCACTCTTATTCCTGTGGCATGTTTTCCCCTGTGTTATCGTAGGAGGTGACCCACTACCTGGTGAAGTGGTGCGGCCTCTCGTACGAGGAGGCCACCTGGGAGCTGCAGGAGGACCTGGACCCCGAGAAGATCAAGGAGTTCGAGAGGATCCAGAAACTACCGCCTGACCTCAGATACATGGTGAGGAGGAATACTAAACGAGAGGGGAAACTGCAGTTTGATACAATATTTATGGAGGAAAAAATGTAGAAAGCTATCTTGTTTTTAAAGTGCTACATCAACAAAACTGGATTACTATAGACAGAAACACTTATCTGTGAAAGGAGAAATAGTGTAATAATAATACATACATATTGGCAGAGTATTGTTATCAGGGGAAACTAACATTTTGAAATCCTGTGAAATAAAAGCCAGTGAATGTAAGGCTTTCATTGGAAAACTAACATCATTTACCAATGCATTGTTAAAAGAGCAGTCAGCCGGTCTGGATTTGATCAGAATCAGAAAGAGCTTTTCTTGCCAAGTTGATCTACACATACGAGCAACTGACTCTGGTGTGTATGGTGCATAAATAAAACACAGTAAGAACAAAACGAAATGAAATGTAGGATTATAATTAGGGCTGTCAAGTTAACGCGTTAATAACGCCACTAATTATTTTAACGCGATTAACGCATGTGTATTTTTTGTCCTCGGCCGCCCCGTAGTTTCAGAGCGCATCGAGTTTAAAATACCATCTACAAGCTGATGCTGACAGCCCCGCTCCTGCCGCCCGCTTGTGGCAGACCACACTTCCACGCTCACCGGCAGGACCGGACTGGCCATCGGGAGGACCGGGAGGGTGTGTGTATGTGTGGCGCGAGCGAGGCACACCTTACGTGTTGTTGTTGTTGTTAGCATCTGGTGCTAGCTAGCTGCGCTAACAGATATAAGGAGCTGTTTCAATGAAAACAGGGGAGCGACATTTCGCCGACAACTGCGCCGAGCACTTGACTTTATGCAGGTAGCCAGACAGTGGGACATTGTACGAAAAGTCAGCACACTCAGCACGGATAGTGCGCGCAACATGATTGCAGCGTCCAGGCAGCTCCCGTTCGAGCATATATGCCTTGAGCTGCACATAGCCCCAACGATCCATCACAGGGTCTCCACACACACACACACACACACACACACACACACACACACACACACACACACACACACACACACACACACACACACACACACACACACACACACACACACACACACACACACACACACACACACACAGTATTGTATGAGAGAGGTTCCAGGTTGAATTGAGGCGAATATTTGTAATGTTCAGAGTTTGTTGTGTTTAATATTCATGAGAATATTTGTCATTGTTCAAATGATAATAAACAAACATATAAAGCATATTTGTCCACTCATAAGTTGATAAGAGTAGAGTATTAAAAACTTGAAAAATATCCCTCTAAGGTACATTTAGAACAGATAAAAAATGTGCGATTAATTTGCGATTAACTATGGACAATCATGCGATTAATCGCGATTAAATATTTTAATCGACTGACAGCCCTAATTATAATACAAACTTTTAACCTCTTAAAGACGACGGTCCCCCCAGTGGACCCCCCCCACCGTTTTTTTTTGAGACTATGTCTCATGGCTTCTTAACATTTATGAAACTATTAATGTGTAGCACCAGATTAACGGGCAGAAACTCAGCTAACTGAAGATATGAACCATTTTTACCAAAACAAAACACAAGGGTAATACCAAGCCTCTGAATTAGCACTAAGCGAAAAAATGCTAACGCACTTAGCACAGAACTCAAGATAAAGATACCCTTATTACTTATCGTAACTGCACATACAATATATCCGATTAAAGCTGAGACTCCACAGATTATATAGGTATAGTATCATCACTGAGCGATCCAAACTTGCGACAGGGGAAGCAAACACAGACATCACAACACGTACCTTTACGGAGCTTTTACGGGAGATCGTCTCACCGTAGCTGTCAATCTGATCAAAAGACGTGTTCAATGGCATTAAAACGAGAAAAAACGCGGCTGAATAGGTTGATCCATAGGTTAATAATGTATCTGGCTTTGAAAAAAATATTTATAATCCATAATTCTATTTTTATGTAAAAATCGTAGAAAAAAAGTTAGCTGCTAATGGTAGCCAACAGAGTGTATGCAGCTTCCGGTTTTGGCCACGCGTCACTCTCACTCCTTATTTGTTAACGTGTTGGTGTGTGTAGAACTTTCTCTCGATTCCATTGGCTCTAGCGGTTATAAAGAGATTTCATTCATCAAAATCGAGCAAGGGGGGCCAGAGATATGCAAAATCCACCCAAATGACCCCAGAAGTGGTTTTATTTGGCTAAATCTCTCTATAAAGGTCAAATTTCACTTGTTTTGCATCAATCTTGATACAGGGTACTTATTATATGTTGTACTTTGGATTCCTAAAGCTTTTAGTCTACTAACCCATCATCCAAGGGTAGTTTTCACTATAAGTAAAAAATAATTTTTGGACGGACACTATAATTTACAGTTTTTTTACTATGTTCTGAATCTGAATTTTCTTTAAAATAAAAAACATCTATATTGATTCTGACTTTTCTACATCCAACTCACAGGTTTATCATTACTTTGAGAACAAAGATTATTAATTTAACCCTTTTAGAAGTGAAGATATGGTCATTTGTTCTGGGAATGTCATTTTCGAGCCTGAGACCTGAAAAACAGGCTCAGGGTTAACAGGTTAACATGGGAAATAAAAATAGAGAAATATTCAAACCAAATATAAATATGCAAAAAACTAACTACAGTATAATAGGACAAAAAAGGTCCTAAAGCCTCTTGCCAGAATGTGTCCAGGGTCGGAGGGATTTGCAGATTGCAGCCAATAACCTTCTCAGCAGAGTGGATGATACGCTGCAGCCTTTTTTATTTTTATTTTTATTTGTCCTTATAAGTTTAAAGTCAACACAGAAGTTGCAGAACAATTTGCTTGAAGCATTCAACCCATCATTCACATTTAAATTGAATGAATGTGCTAAATTAAGACTTTTTACATCTGTAAATGGTCTTACAACACTCTCCTGATGCTCGGTTTCTTTTCCAATCAGGCAAACATCTGTCAAAGAGCACATCACCAGATTTGAATTGCTAAAAGATACAGAGATGTGGGCGGCAATTCAGACCTAGATAGAAAATAGTGAGCGAAAACACTTGGGTCGGTAGGCAGATGAAAGAAAAAGGAAAAACAACATCATGTGTGTCTATTTCATCTCAGGAACAACACCTGCCCACTTCTGCTCCATCTCAGATTCACCATCTTGCCCTTGTTTATTTTGTCGCTGGAAGTAATGGCAAACAGTCAGTGTTGTGGGCTTTTCTCCTCCAGCTGGATTTGATGTTTGTTTTTGGATGTGAAATTGAGCTTTTGAAAATCCATGTCGAGCCTTTTCTCTTCTGTGACCCACAATCCTCTCCACACCTGTGATTCACACTGCATCAATATGAAGAACAATCAAAAAACCTCAGCAGAAGCCATTTATTGTAAGATACTCTTAACAGAAATCATCTGTCTAACATAATCATTTACTTTGCTGGATGTTGAATGCAAATTGCTGCTCAAAATGTAGTAATTTTCTTTTTTCTACCGCTGAGAGAAGCAAGAGTGAGACCTGAGAGAATTATTCCTGCTCTCTTGCTGTTATTCTTTTCAAAACTAGTATTTTAACTTATTACGCCTCGGCAGCAACAATCTGTTGCACCACTTATTTTTGGTCCATTTCACCTCAAAACTCACACAGCATCCTCTCTTACCTTTTTCAAAATTGGAACAACTTATTTACCTCTCATCAGAATCAGAAATACTTTATTTACATCGGGGGATTGTGTTTCATGATAATTCTTCCATTTCAGAAGGAAATACAACAAAAGATTAACAAAATTAAATATTTGTATTAACATAGGAAGTAAGAATGTGCAATTAAAAGATTAAATAAAATGCAAAGAATTCATCAAAAATCATTTAAATTCCAGATTCTTTGCTATTTCTGTGGTTGGATGTACCGTGGAGATCTAGTAGAGGATAGTGGGTAATATAATATTTAATATTTTAAATGTGTGTGTTGTTATTGCAGGAGCGTCCTCTTCCAGAGAAGTGGCAGAAGTTGGATAACTCCAGAGCTTACCGGAATATAAACCAGCTCCGAGAATACCAGTTAGAGGGAATGAACTGGTTACTGTTCAACTGGTACAACAGGTGAGTAAAACAAACGCTCTGAAACCAGTTTTAACACTATTTAGCAGTGTTTAGAAACACAGGAGAACAAATATTTTGTAATCTCTCCTGTATGTTGTCATTTTATATAACACAGCAAGACAACATGTCATTAACGTATTATAAAACCTAAACTGAATTAAATGTATTACTTTGTAAATGTACCATCACCTGTATAACTGAATCTTTTCTTAGTCCCATCATGCTTGACTATATTTATCAGAATGAACACTTCGTATCACTAAGTCTTTTAACACCTCAGAATTAAATGAATATTTAATGATTAGTTGTCCATATATTAACATTTAGGATGAACGTTAGCAGCAACTCAACGGTGAAACAAACAAAATCTCTCTACAGAGATACAGAGATTAATAAGTTACTAATATAAAAATAGGAAGTAAGATCAAATAAGAAAGTGAAAAACAACTGCAACAGGCTGCATGCACTAATGATGAAAAGACATACAAGTTTTGATACATCTTTTTATGGTTTGCGGTGCTGAATTGCATTTCATCAAATTAAATATTTAATGTCTGTTTGAAATTTGTGAAATGCTTTGCTCCGATTGCACACAAATACGTTTTATGTTGCTAACATTATTATAAGAAATGCAGATCCCACTGTTGTGATCACACAAAAAGTAATACATTTTAACATATCTTCAACATATTGTTTTATATGAAATTGTAACCGCTGTGTCACGATAAACATTGTTCTACCAGATTCTTGCCAATTCATCTCCCCAACACAAATCGTTTTTAATGAACTTAATTAATGCACTCATAAGAATTATTTATTTATATAACAGGGACAGAGCACAATACTAAACATTGTTGTGTGTGTGAAAGTTAGCTCAGAGGCTTTTTTTTCATCTGGCCAGATTTTTCAAAGTCACCCTACAAAACAAAGGCAATGACATCATAAAAAACATGCAAAATAGAGCTGCATAATCAATGGAGGTATGTCCTGTATTTGGACTATAGCTCTTACCGATCTCGCTGTCTGTTTCGCTCTAGGAAAAACTGCATCCTGGCAGATGAGATGGGTTTGGGAAAGACCATCCAGTCCATCACCTTCCTGTTTGAGATCTTCAGCATGGGGATCCGCGGCCCCTTTCTCATCATCGCCCCCCTGTCCACCATCACCAACTGGGAGCGGGAGTTCCGTCAGTGGACCAACATGAATGTCATCGTGTACCACGGATCTCAGATCAGCCGGCAGATGATCCATCAGTACGAGATGTTCTACAGAGACAAACAGGTAGAGCCTGAACCTCTAAAAGTGTTGAATAAACAAAATGCTGGAAGAAGCTCAAAACACAACGGAAACCAGGGGACACGAAAAGTGACGCACACAGCTGGGACCGGAGTGCATGTTGACATTCAGGTGTTTTTAAAAAAAAAAAAAAAGATTGACCTTTATTGATCCCCCAAAGGGGAAATTCAATTTTCCACTCTGTATATCAAAATAAAAATATGTGTGTATAAAAAACAGTTACATACAAATACAGACAGTTATATTCATGCACACATGCACATGCATTGTTGTTGTACAGGTACAATACACACAGTTATATATGCACACATACACGTGCATTGAGAGGATCCAGAGCGGAGAGCCAGCCAGTCTAGCCGGCGCCAGGAGCAGTTGGGGGTTAAGTGCCTTGCTCAAGGGCACCTCGGCAGTGGCCCAGGAGGTGAACTGGCTCCTCTCCAGTGCCAGTCCACACTCCGTATTTCTTTGGTCCGATCGGGACGTGAACCGGCGACCTTTCGGTCCAAAGTCCAAGTCCCTACAGACTGCCGCCCAAAACCTTTGTCAGTGTATCTGAAATGACTAGGTTCGCTTTTTTAGCTAGCTAGCTTAAAGCAGATCTGTAATAATATCTGAAGGTATCATACGATTCAATTGTTAAAAACAAGCCAATCATACTTACATTTGAGACTTTATATCTCTTAACGTTAACAAGCCATCCCCTCCCAGCTGTGTGCGTCACTTTTTAGTGTCCCCGTTCCCGTTGTGTTTAAGCTTCTTGCAGCGTTTCGTTTATGCAGTGCTTTTAGTAAACGCATCTTTCGTCAGGTTGGTGAATGTTTTTTAGATGCTTTGCATGTGTTGGTGAAGTCGGTGAAGATGTTTCTTCATTTGCATGTGCTTTGGCGCATTTTTTTTTTTCTCCTCGTGGAAGTGTTTTTGGCCAGTGTAACAGGTTTGCACCTGTCGGCCACATTTAAGACAGATATCCATTGAACAATCTTTATTTATCTCACCTCTTTTTCCTCTCTACTTCACCCCCCCCATGTAGGGTGGCTCCATGTTTGGACATGCAATGATCACATTGTATTTGCAGAGCATTTCAGTGTAGTTATTTACCATGACTTCTACATCTGGAGTAAATGCACTAGTTGATGTTCCTTCTGCTGCACGTCCAGTCTGATGGACTCATAATTACAACAATGTATGCAGCTCCTAGTTCTGACTTTCTTCTTCAAAATAAATGTGCTGATGCATAATAAAATCACTTTTCAGCACTTTCAGAGGCATTAAGCGTTTTTATTATAAGATTAAAATGAGTGAGGCATGAAGCTCCTCTCCCTGATTTAAGGATGATGTCCTTCCCTGAATCGATACTGTTCCGTTCTCAGGGTAACACCATCCCAGGCATCCTGAAGTTCCACGGCGTGATCACCACCTTCGAGATGATCATGGCCGACTGTCCGGACCTGAAGAAGCTGCACTGGCGCTGCGTGGTGATCGACGAGGCCCACCGGCTGAAGAACAGGAACTGCAAGCTGCTGGAGGGACTCAAGCTCATGAACCTGGTGTGTGTGTGTGTGTGTGTGTGTGTGTGTGTGTGTGTGTGTGTGTGTGTGTGTGTGTGTGTGTGTGTTGTGTGTGTGTGTGTGTGTGTGTGTGTGTGTGTGTGTGTGTGTGTGTGTGTGTGTGTGTGTGTGTGTGTGTGTGTGTGTGTGTGTGTGTGTGTGTGTGTGTGTGTGTGTGTGTGTGTGTGTGTGTGTGTGTGTGTGTGTGTGTGTGTGTGTGTGTGTGTGTGTGTGTGTGTATATTCTTTTTCACAGACGAGACTGCACCAATCTGTTCAAATCACAAATCATAACCTCGAAAAAATATTTTCTATAATCTGCATTTAATGTCTATTTAAGGTTGTGTGTGTTATATTTATTTTGTTGTTTTTAATGATTTTTAAATTAATCAACCTATACATGCAGTGTCTATGAGTACCTAAAAAAGTGATCTATAAATAAAATGTATTATTACTTTTTTTTATATATTATTCTTTCTTTATTTTATTTGATGTCACTCTTAACCATTATAGGGGTGAGACAAACAATTGAATTAGATTATATCAACTTCATTCATAAATTAAATAAGACAATACAAATTAATAAACATAAACAGTTAAGATATACATATTCACTTTATCAATAGTATCTACACATAATGAAAAATACAGAATCAGTTAGAATATTTATAATTCAGACCAATCTTATACTAAGAGAAAATATATGAACATAGGATGCTATACACAATACAAAAGTGTGTTGCAGTGTGCCTAGTCTGAATGATCCTCTTCTAGCTGCCAGGCTCTCATACAGGCACTCTTCTCCTGTGTCTAACCGTCGATCTCTTTTTGTGTCATGTTTTCTCTCTTCTGAAGGACCTCTTGGGATACCGTTTCAGTTCAGTTTGAATACATGTCATGACGAGCAGCATGTTCTGAGATGTAGTGTTTGTGTTGAAGATAACCCTGTCATGGTTCTCACAGGAACAAAAGGTTCTGCTGACAGGAACCCCTCTGCAGAACTCGGTGGAGGAGCTGTTCAGTTTGTTGAATTTCCTGGAGCCACTGCAGTTTCCCTCAGAAAGCACCTTCATGGAAGAGTTCGGAAACCTCAAAACAGACGAGCAGGTGTGTTGAGAAAAAATGTTTTAATGTTGGTACAAAACATCGTAGACTTCAACCAGGACTCAGTGGAGAGCAGTGTTGTTTGTGTTCAATGTAAATGCATCCACAAATTGCTTCCTTTCCAGCAGTTCTGCGTGTTTTGTTGCTTTTTTTATTTTACTCAAAACAGAAATGTTTTTTAGAAACAGACTACAATTTTGTATCCGGGGGGGAATAAGGTTTGTGATATGTGCTTCATTTAGAATAAGTTGAGTAAAGAAAGTAAAAAATGGGCCAAAAAGATAGAATAAAAAATGATAAAACACAAGTAAAAGTAAAAATGTGCAATAAAAGATATAATGAAAACAAAAATAACAATATTATGTTGGATAAGAAGTTAATGTAAAAATGTGCACATTGTACAATATACACTAACTATAAATATATGAAAAGGTGTATAGGCAGTGTATTAGTAATGAAAGTTATATAGACCTGCACAGTTAAAGAAGGTTGAATTACGCCCTGTGGACATAAAGTAGAAGCAATATGCTTTTCTTTGAAGAACAAACCTTATCATTTGCATTTTCATCATATGCACACCTCCTCCTGTGTTCCTCTCGACAGGTGAAAAAGCTGCAGGCCATTTTGAAGCCCATGATGTTGAGGAGACTGAAGGACGATGTGGAGAAGAACCTGGCGCCTAAAGAAGAGACCATCATAGAGGTGGGCTTCCCTGGGTCATCAATATGAATATGTCTGCATCTCAAGTGGTACATAACATGAATTCATAATATATTGATTATTTCCCTCCTTTTGTGAATGTGCAGGTGGAGCTGACCAACATTCAGAAGAAATATTACCGCGCCATCTTGGAGAAGAACTTTTCCTTCCTGTCCAAAGGAGCAAACCAGCACAACATGCCCAACCTCATTAACACCATGATGGAGCTCCGCAAGTGCTGCAACCACCCCTACCTTATCACAGGTGAACACACACACACACACACACACACACACACACACACACACACACACACACACACACACACACACACACACACACACACACACACACACACACACACACACATTTCTTGAATGCTGAGATCGCACTCTTTCGTCCTCAAAATGAATATCAGTGCCCTCTTATTCTTCCCTGATTGTAAGTGCAACTCTTTAATGACACCACAGCTATAATTAGCAATTAATTAACATTCTATAATTACACTGCACTTTGATACAGCAATATGTTTTCCACCAAAAAGCAGTCATAATAAACAGAGTAAGAAACTGATCAGAATCAAAAATCCTTCATCTGTTCCGGAGCCGGAACATTTACATTGTTACAGCAAAGAATACAGTGCAGGTAAAGGCAAAATAAAAGAGTAGACAAACACATCAAATGAAGAGGAAAGCACACAATAATAAAATCAAATAAAACATTCAAAAAATTGGGGATACTAGCAGGATCACAATGTTCCAAAAAACTAAAAAGAGCTGTGTTTATTAAACTAAAACGGAGCATTTCTGCTTTTGTAAACTGTAGTATAGATGAGACTAACAAATGCGTTACTTCCGGGCAAAAAGTACGGCTCCGCCCACTTTTGGGGGAAAACAACGCTGTCATTTGAATGGCGGTCAATACATATTCTGAAGTTTTTGCCAATTTTTGGAAGAAAACCGTGGATTTTTGGATCTTCAAAGAGCCTGATTACAATGGCCAGTCAGGCAAAAAATGACATTAAGCCATTAGAAATCGACGATCAGGCTCGATATATGGTTAAATATAGCAGTAGGCTATCGATTTTCATAGATGAGAGTAACATCTACGTCACTTTACGGCCCCGCCCACTTTTGGGGGAAACAACGCTGTCATTTGAACGGCGATCGAGCCTGACGCCACAGAGCTTCTGTTACTGTCCTTTGTTCTTAGAGGAAGTACAGAAACACTGAATTCTGGATTTGTTTTAATGTTTGAGGTGCAATAAACAACACAGCAGCTTTTTGGCATGATAAAACTATTATTTTCCACCTCGCTCATGAGAGTAACAGCTGGAGAAATTACAGCCTTGCCTACTGATTTTAATTTAACCATATATCGAGACCGATTGTCGATTTCAAATGATTTAATGTAATTGTTTGCCTGTCTGGCCATCGTAATCGGGCTCTTCGAAGATCCAATAATCCACGGTTTTCTTACATTTCTGATCGGATTGGCAAAAACTTCAGAATTTGTATTCACCGCCATTCAAATGACAGCGTTGTTTTCCCCCAAAAGTGGGCGGGGCCGTAATTTTTGCCCGGAAGTGACGTAGGTGTTACTCTCATCTATGTGCTCATGTGTTTCATTGTTGGTGAATAGGCTACTGCCTGAATATGCTTACAGTAATGAACATCTCTGAGCAGAGGACACATTTTTGATACTAGCCGGCCCGGCTAAAATAACTGGATGGCCTACCTGCCTGTCAGCCTTCCATCTTTGTACAAACTTATCTCGTGCCCTCATTGGTCATGTGCGCGTTCGTGTGTGTTGGAGGAGGGGCTCTGTAAGGAAGTGGCAGATTTTCTCCGGCTGTGTATTTTCAAATTCTAGCGCACTCGAGCTGGTTTCTCCAAAATTACCTAGTAAAAAACATCTTATTGATATTTTTTTTTCTCTTGTATTTATCTGCATTGCATTTGATATTGAGGTTACTTTTACCCCCCTCACCATTCTGTTCTTCCTTCCAGGAGCGGAGGAGAAGATTCTAGATGGCTTCAGGAGGTACCACAGCCCTGACGCGCTGGACTTCCAGCTGCAGGCCATGATCCAGGCGGCCGGGAAGCTGGTGCTGATCGACAAGCTGCTGCCCAAACTGCTGGCCGGGGGACACAAGGTGCTCGTCTTCTCCCAGATGGTGCGCTGCCTGGACATCATGGAGGACTACCTCATACAGAGACGGTGAGGGGGGGGGGGAGCGGTGGAAGAAAACAAAGTTAGATCAAGCAGGAGGGCAGAAAACATTACTTATGAAGAAAAGTGCCCCCTGAGCGATATTCAATACATTTGACAGCGAAATAACTATGAACTTTATGATGAACAAGCTCCATACTGTACACAAATACCCCAAAAACCATAATAGGGAATCTTTAAAAATATATGTATGTAACCTGCTAGCAAAATATTCTTAAAATGGTATTTGAGTATTCTTGAGATATTTAGGTTCAGACCATTCCATAATTGAACACTGATTATCGATTAGCTTTGTGATTTAGTGGTAGTTCTACAGAGCTTTCTACACAGTATGTTGTTTTGCCTGGTTGGGTACCTGCTGACATCAGTTTGGATGTGTGTTTGGATGTTTTTTGCATCACCCAAAATGTCAGGAGATTTGAATAGATGTAGTTTCTTTGTTAACCTTGACATTATCAACAACAACTTTTCTGCATGTTTCCTGCAGCTACACGTACGAGCGCATCGACGGGCGCGTGCGAGGGAACCTTCGGCAGGCGGCCATCGACAGGTTCTGCAAGCCGGACTCGGACCGCTTCGTGTTCCTGCTGTGCACCAGAGCGGGGGGGCTGGGGATCAACCTCACCGCTGCTGACACCTGCATCATCTTCGACTCTGACTGGAACCCCCAGAACGACCTGCAGGTGGGGGGGGGGGGGGCACAGAGTCACACTACACACAGGGGGCGGGGTCCATGCAAGAGTCCAGAGTTGCTGCTTTATGAGCCGTTTAATATTTAGTGGCATTTATTATTCCTTTTGAGACTGAAATACTGTATAGGACAAAATGCATACTTCAAAGAACTATTCTGCTGCTAAAAATGAAGTAAGCACACAGTGTTACCTGTCAGTGTGAATCTGTCACAGTTTTGATGCAATGGCTGTTTCAATTTCTAGTCAAAAAGTGTATTCCTCTCAGAATTGAGTGACATTTCCCTAAATGATTGAGACTGCTCTTTGTTGGCTGAAAGATTTGTTCTCCTCCGCAGCCAATTAGTATGTAGAGAACTATTGGATTGAATGGGCTCTATGTGTAGCCTAATAACTCAAATCAGTTACTCTTATTAGACTCTTTCTGAGTCTGGTCGAGCTTACATTTTGAAAACGGGGGGTTACAATGGTATTAAAACATTGTAACCCTATTAATGTAGGCTCACATTACATGCATTAATGAATAGATTTGAAAGATTGCACAAAACCCTCAATACGTCTAGTAGCAAGGACATTTATAAAGCATCAGTATTATACGTTATATATTATGTTATATTGAATATCTTTACTCTGACCCGCTCCATGCCAGGCTCAGGCACGCTGCCACCGGATTGGCCAGAGCAAAGCGGTGAAAGTTTACCGACTGATCACCAGGAACTCGTACGAGAGGGAGATGTTCGACAAGGCCAGTCTGAAGCTGGGCCTGGACAAAGCCGTGCTGCAGGACATCAACCGCAAGGGCAGCGTCAACGGGGTGAGGGACTATCAGCCGATATCAGGGGTCACATTTTCAAGCCGATTTCAAAACCAGTGTTATTATTGGCATCAGTAGATCATTTTACCCCTGCAATGACTGCCTTGACAGCCAAATGTGAACAATACCATTTTTTTTTTTCGTGTTCATTCTCTTCTATCGAAAAGTCAAAAAGACTCTGAGCACAATATTTTATTTATGGGTTCTGAAAAAACCCTGTACAGAGAGTTGCTCCGTGAATGACGTTAAAGTTATGACGGATTCCCCCTTTTTCTCCTCAGGAAGCCTTTTGCCTCCCGTCAGGTCATCATTGAAAATAAGAATTTGTTCTTAATGGATTTTCCTGGCTAAATAAAAGTTCTACTACTTTCTACCTTTTGTACCGATTGCAGCGTGAACATCGGCTGATGTCAGGCTGATGCATCTGGGCATGAATATTAGATATTGCAAGATATTGGGTGTTGCACTGTGTTTTCTCCAGGATGTCCCTTTAGATACTTTACAACTGGTCGATTCTCATTGTGTGGCTGAATCTTGCTGCAGGTGCAGCAGCTTTCAAAGCTGGAAGTTGAAGATTTGTTAAAAAAAGGAGCATACGGAGCGCTGATGGACGACGAAGACGAGGGCTCCAAGTTCTGCGAGGAAGACATCGATCAGATTCTTCAGAGGCGAACTCAGACCATCACCATCGAGACTGAAGGGAAAGGGTCCACCTTCGCTAAGGTAGAAACCTGAATGATGAAATCATCTGTTCACAAAGCTCTAAAGTTATTGTTGTGTTGTATACATTTTAAGTGTGTTGTTTTGATGTTGTTTTGATGCATTTTAGCATGTACAGTGCCTTTTGAGTAGCATGAAAAGCGCTTTATAAAAACTACAATATATTTACGTATACTGTCTGAAAGGTGTAGTTTCATGAAGTGTTGCTTAGATATTTCAAATCTTTTTCATCACTCTTTTTTAATGTGCAATGTGTTGGATGGTGTACAGTATATCCTAAATCATTTTTGAGGCGATGGAATTGAATAATTTAAGGCCTTTCATTTTTTACTAAGAGTAGTTTTCTTGGCTTAATATGGTGGTTATTTTGTCCCACGGTCTAAATGTTGTTCCTGAGGCTTTTTGCAGGAAATGCTTGGAATATTTTGGCATGAAGTTCAAATATGAAGACACTAAATATTTGAGGAAAACAATTCAGCTCCAGTCCAAACATTTGGTTGGATTCCAACATCACTCACAACACAGATAACATCAACCAGAGTCTGACTTCTGTTATGCTTCCCTCAGGCCAGCTTCGTCTCCTCTGGTAACAGAACGGACATCTCTCTGGACGACCCCAACTTCTGGCAGAAATGGGCCAAGATCGCTGAGGTGGAGATGGACTCCAAATCCGAGAAGGTACAGAGAGAAGGAGAGAAGAGGGGAACAGATTTCAAACGGGAAGCAGGAGAGGAGGGAAGAAACACAAAGAAGGAAAGGATCTTCAAAGAAAAGGGACAGAAAAGGAGAGGAAAGAAGAAATCAGGGGAAATGTGAGCGCAGTGACAGAAAGAAAGGTGGATGCTGAAGGTGAAGCAGGGAAAGAGTGAACAGTAACCATTCAACAGGAGATATTCGTGAATCATGCCAAAGTAAGAAGAAGGTAGTAGTGGGAGAGGAGGAGTACTGGGGGAATGGATGGAGAAAGCAACATGGGGAGCGATACAAGGCTTAAAGAGTCAATAGGTGTGATCCAAGTTAGAAAGCACAAAGATGGAGGGATGTGTAAGCTAGAACATAGTCAACAAGAGCATGAATAGAAAAGATGATAAAGGAATGATGCTTTTCCTTTCATTCTGGCTTTACTGTTCTCTCCTCTCATCTACGCTACCCTCCTTTCCTTTACTCCTCTCTGTTCCTTTTATACTTCTTGATCTTCCCTTTCTCTGTTTTCTTTACCTTCTTTTGTCTTCCCCATCTCTTCCTCATCTCCTTTCTCCTTCCTCTCCTCTCAACTACTCTCCTTTTCTCTCCACTCCAATTCTTCTTCATCTCTTCCCCTATCATTTTTTTCCTTCTCCTTTTCTCTCTCCTCTCCTCTCCTCTCCTCTCCTCTCCCTCTTCACTCTTCCTCCCCTCTCATGTCCTCTCCTTCCCCTCGTAACAGATGGACTTCCTTAATGAATGAAGCAGATTGCACACAAAGCACTGCTTCTGTCCCCATACCTGTGTGTGTGTGCGTGCGTGCGTGCGTGCGTGCGGGCGTGTACTATGACACGTGTCTTGAAGTGTCGTGTCTCTGGTGTTCCTCTAAAGTTTCCTTTATACTTCTTTCTCTCTCTCCCAGGAGTCCTTGGTGATCGACACCCCCCCGGGTGAGGAAGCAGACCCGTCACTACAACTCCTTCGAGGATGACGAGCTGATGGAGTTCTCGGAGCTGGACAGCGACTCGGAGGAGCGTCCGTGTCGGACTCGTCGTCTCGGAGAGCGCGCCCGCCGCTACCTCCGGGCGGAGTGCTTCAGGGTGGAGAAGAACCTGCTGATCTTCGGGTACGACCTGGGAATACTTCATCTGTGGCTGCAGTTTAAAGAGGCCCTTTCATGCTTTTGGGGGTTTTCCCTTTTGTGCAAATTGCCCAACATATGCAAGTTACCATCCGGCAGTTTCTATGTGCTGGGGACTAGACATATCTAACATAAAACTTTGCTGTACTCAGCATTTATGGGTTCACAACCAGACTCTATGAGCTGGCAACTAGACTATAAGCACAACAAACAACTCATCTCAACTGAAATGTTCAATCTTTATTAAAGCCAAATATGAAATTGATCTTCAAATAATTACTTGATAATTAATAACACACTACTACAAATAATAGTAGTACAACAAATTATAAAACTCATTCTTAGCAAACGTAAGCCCTTGTCTGAAATGATCTTAATTCAAATGTATCATTCCTGTGCTTTCAGACATATTCATTTCCAAGAAAATGTAGTAAAATACATAATAATAAGTGCCTCTTTTTCATTTCCCTCTAAACAATATGAACACACACATCTTACAGTCTTAAACCTCAGTGATGCTCAGTCCATTAAAAAAGTTCTTGTGAGTTTATATATCTATGTTTACACCGGGGTTCCGTTGTGAGCTAAAGAGTGAACATAAATACATCAGAGCAAACTTCAAAGATTCTGAATTGAAGAGAAAATAAATGTACACTCTTTTTGTTTTATGTGACAAATGAAAATATATTTACTGTATCTGTTGCTACTATTTTTTCTCTCTCAGTTTATTTTTTACTTAGCTCTACATTCTTTACTGTGTGTTTCAGATGGGGACGATGGAAGGACATTCTTAACCACGGCCGCTTTAAATGGCATCTGGCAGAGGGAGACATGGAGGTGATCTGCAGGTAAGGGAAACATCCTTTTCATATTATTTCACTCTACATTCTGAAATGTTTACTAGGGGTAAAACAGTGAAAAGTCATACTAGAAAACACACCCCAGGGTTAGAGCTGTCATGCGAGTACAGGGTAGGTACTTTAAACATGTATGAAGTTAGAATTACTGAAAATGTCAGTGACCTAATTTTGGCATCACAAAATAAAATGAATCTAACGCGATTACTTTGTCTTTCTTCTGGATCACCTCAATATCAAATGAACTGAAAGTAAATACAAGAGAAAATAAATATTGATAAGATGTATTTTACTAAGTGTATTACAGTATGTAAGACAACAGAACAATGTAACCTCAGAAACATGGAAATATTCAAACTAATATGTTTGTTTTGCAGGGCTCTGCTGGTGTACTGCCTGAGACACTACAAAGGTGACGACAAGATCAAGAGCTTCATCTGGGACTTGATCACCCCCACCAAGGAGGGCCAGGACGAGGCGCTGCTCAATCACTCCGGTTAGCATTTCACCGTTAGCATGCGCTGTAACGTTAGCCTAAGGCCTTATACTCCACTTCCTCTGTTTAAAGAGCACTACACACATTTAGTATTGCACTCTTACAGTATAACACACACTAGGCAGACTGAAAGGGAAACAAATGTATGCAGCAGAACCAGACTTTAATGTTGGTTACTCCTTAAAAATTATATTTATATCATATTATAATGTCTTTTATCATAATACTTCATCATTTCTGGTCACTCATAGACTTTTTTGCACTATTCTATAATTTCCATAGTTGTAATAAATAATAATCTTTCTGTACTGCTTATTCCTTTCACTTTCCAGGGGTATAGGCTGAGTTTATACTGTACACTCAGTGATTAACAATTATGAATAATTATGTTATAACTCATTATAAAATGAAATGTTATGTTTTGTGATTGTTGATATAAAGCAATTTTGGTTTGTATGAGTGCTTATAACTACAATTATAAAGTGCTAGCAGATTATAATACATTATTAGAATACTTATAATTCATTTTAGACATGGTTATCACAGAAATCAAATCTAACTGATTTTATATAGCAACAAAGTGATTGAAAAACAAAACAAAAAAACTGATACAACCCCAATAGTAACACATAACTTTGATATTCTGACAGAAGTCAATAAACACATAATTCAATAAAACAAGAATAAAATAATAACATAAGAATCAATACATTAAATTAAAGTTGACCTATCTCTTTGAATCTCCCACTCTAATGGCGCATTTCCACTACAGCGCGGTTTAAGCGTGCCGTGCCGTGCCCGGCCCGTTTTTGGTTGCGTTTCCACTAGGCGTAGTTCCGGCTAGCGGGTACTTTTTCACAGTTTTTCCGGCTCTCCAAAATCAAGGTTCTTTCCGGGCCAACAACCGGGCTGAGTATGCTAAACTAGTGAGAGAATCGCTGGCAACTACAACAAAATGAACATATTTTACCGTGATTTAATTGTAATACACGTTTCAAAATGATGCCGAAGTAACAACATACTGATACCGGTTAGTAAAAACCATGAATTAATGCTTTGACAAGTCTGCAGACAGACGGCAGGCGAAAAACCTTTTAAAATGCGTGTTTTCTAAATGGAGATTGGCTAAGCTAACGCAGTATATGCTCCGACCGTCCACACTCACAACAACGGCCTATACAGACATAAATAAAGCAGCGACTGTATTCGCCATGACACAGACAGTCTGTGGTTTGTACTTGTTTAACTTTTGTCTAGTTTCTGAACAGATATGAGGAGCTGTGAGCTCTGAGTGCTAACAGCTAACGGCTGTGTTGTTTTTGTGTTTCGCATTGAAGATGACGTCACGGCTCCGCCTACACTGAGTTACTATAGTTACTACCCCAGTTCCTAAACTGTAATGGAAACGCAGCATAAAGTGAGCCTGGCCTAACAAGGCCAAGAGAGGCCTAGCCATACCGTAGGCGTACTAAGCCGAGCGAGGCCCTGCAGTGGAAAAGCGCCATAAGTGTCACTTTACAGGGGTAAAATGTTAGCATGAAGTTCAGTATTTAAAATCCATCATTAGGATTAACCAAGAGGATCCCCCCCCCTGTGCTCCAGGTTTATCGGCTCCAGTTCCTCGGGGGCGGAAGGGGAAGAAGCTGAAGATCCCGCTGAGCGTCCCTGAGCTGAAGAACGCTGACTGGCTGGTGCACTGCAACCCTGAGGTGGTGCTGCAGGACGAGAGCTACAAGAAGCACCTGAAACAGCACTGCAACAAGTCAGTGCACCCTCACTAACAGCTGTGTGTGTGTGTGTGTGTGTGTGTGTGTGTGTGTGTGTGTGTGTGTGTGTGTGTGTGTGTGTGTGTGTGTGTGTGTGTGTGTGTGTGTGTGTGTGTGTGTGTGTGTGTGTGTGTGTGTGTGTGTGTGTGTGTGTGTGTGTGTGTGTGTGTGTGTTGTGTGTGTGTGGTGTGTGTGTGTGTGTGTGTGTGTGTGTGTGTGTTTGTGTGTGTGTGTGTGTGTGTTGTGGTGTGTGTGTGTGTGTGTGTCATTACAGAAGACAGGAATATGAACTGTGCTGTGATTATTATTAGGGCTGCCCTCGACTAAAGATTTGTATTGTCATCATTCGTCATTTGGTTGATGAGTCGACTAATCGCCACACGTGTATGATCAATTATGATTATGAATAATATTTATTTATGTATTTATTCTCAAAAATGGTTTAAGTTTCAAAGGCTGATAAACTTACTATAACTTTATTATAACAGCATGGTATGTTGTGCTTCACATAAAATATAAAATAAAACTGTAATAATGAACCTTTGAAATATACATTAAATGTTACTTGTAGAAAGCACATTGAGGTCAGAATGATTATATTATAGGTCTGTATATGTTGATACAAAGCTATCCTGCAGAGGGGGGCTCGTCTCGTGCAGGATTTTCTGCACGACCGGTTTTCCGGCTGACGCGTCAAAGTTTAGTTTGGACATTCAGCGGTCGGCTCTTTCTTGATAACAGAATGCTTAGGACTTTCAGATCATGGACTATGTGCAGTCATATCAATCCGCAGAAAGAAGTCCTGTCAATATAACGTCAGTAGTGGCAAGAGGAGGACATTTATTTATTATATTACCGCATTAGAAGTGACTATTTTTTTCTTTTAGATTTTCACTAAAATGTCCGCCTTGCTGCACATTATCCCTTACATGTACCCCCCTCTCTCTCTCTGCAGGGTGCTACTGAGGGTGCGGATGTTGTACTACCTGAAGGTGGAGGTGTTGGGTGAAGCTGCCAATCAAGCTCTAGAGGGGATACCTGCCAGGTATGGAGTAGAAACCATGTTCTTGAAGTTATAATTATTGGACTGTTTGAGCAGGTGGTCAGTTTAATTGTTGATAAAACTGTCCTGCCACTTGATGCAAAATCTGGCAGGAAATGTACGTGATGATTAATTGAGGGAATAGCATGAACAAGGCACTTCTATGTACATAAGGATCTGATTTGTTTTCCTTTTTAGCCCTTAAATGTATCCTGTATACTGTATCCTGTATGTTCCCCTGTATCCTGGGGAATACAGTCATTTGACAGGGTCCATGTGTAAAATGGGTGTAATATTGTTAAAGCATAGGGGTAATATGGGTATAATAACAGTCTAATATGCGTGTAATAACAGTGTAACATGGGTGTAATATAGTTGTAATAATGGTCAAATAGGGCTTTAATATGGGTGTATTAATGTGTTACATGGGTGTTATAACTGTGTAATATGGGTGAAATAGCATTCAATAGATTTTGCAAAATATTTATATGTGAATGCCCATTTAAGAGTTAGAATAGCAATGGTTTAATGAATGAAAAGCCAAAGTCATTACTCTTTTAAAATAAATTAAAAGAAAACACTTGTAATGTAAACACATCTACCTGTTTGTTTGCATTACCAGTAAATTAAAAGGGGTGAGGAGACTGTAGTGGTGAGACCCTCAGTCAGAATAATTTGCCCCTGAGTGTTTGCTTGTGTCTTCAGTGAGCCTGAGAGTCCTGACAGCAGCGACTGACACATTGTGTGTGTGTGTGTTGACAGTAAACTGGAGGTGTCACTCCCTGACATCGACTACATAGAGATTCCAGCCTTGTGGTGGGATACAGACGCCGACAAGTCTCTGCTCATTGGAGTCCACAAACACGGTGAGCTGTCAAATTGCACCTTGGTATCTATGAGTGTTCGCCTGAGCACTTTAGTTCTCATACTCTCAGGTTGCTTCACCTTTTAGCATGTGTATGACCCAACACTATCCTTTGCATAAATATGAACCATTGTTGGTGTGTGTGTGAACATGTTTTTCACTGTGTGTTAATGCGGTGTGTGTTTTCCTTTGAACAGGCTACGAGCGGTACAATGCCATGCGTGCTGACCCTGACCTGTGTTTCCTGGAGAGGGTGGGGATGCCCGACGTCACGGCGCTGTCTGCTGAACAGGGAGGGGGGGAGGGGCCCGCCGACATGGCTGACAGGTAGAATATACACACACACACACACACACACACACACACACACACACACACACACACACACACACAGACACAGGGTCATACAGTGGAAAAAGCCTTATTTTAGAGCGTTTTGAAAAGCACCTCTGGTTGTTGAAGACATGACACATCACTTTTTCATTCATTTTCTTCCCTTTTATGATTTTTTTTCACATTTATTTTTGGTGTTGTATGCAATTCTTTAACAGCAAAAGTGTGCCTTTAGCCCCTTTAGCTATTCTAGATTTTTGATTCAGGATGATAATATTAATGTTATTTGTGTTTAAAAAATAGTGGTGTTGTATATATTAAAGTTGACTATCAAATATTAAAGTTAAAGTAAACACAACCTGACAACAATATTCAAAAATGTTAAACACCACACACAATATTCAGCTTGAATATGTATTCCTTGTGTGTACGCTGTATGTGTCTTTACCTAGTTTTTGAAATGGGGATGCTTTCAAGATTATATTATAAGTAAGGCAGAGCACTCGTTCAGACACTTATCAGTTGATAATGACTTTGGAAGTGCAAATTCTAAATTCAACCTTCTTTTAAATTAGCACAAATGACACACTGTAGTTTGACACATAGTAAGCATGGAACCCTGGGTAAGTGACCTATCCCCAGTTGCTTATAGAGTGATGCAGGGATGACGTGTTTACGTGTTCGGTGTAATGACGTACAACGGCCTCGACAACTGCTGTAGTCCTATTCAGCCACTTGGTAACAACCATCGTTTTTCAGACACGTCAACTCTTCAAAAATCCCCAGTGGGGTCACTGCTGATGTATTTAATGTCGTAGAACAAAACGTGATCCGTCTCTTAAATGTGTCTCAACCACAGACCTTATTTCGAGCTATTTTCCTAAATCCTATGGAGAGATCCCATTGACTCTGAGACGAGGGAACCGGTAGTGGTAAAATGCTTACTCACTTCCGGGTTTTAGGACTCGTTCCTGCACCACTATATAGAGTTATGCAGGAATGAGTCTTTGAACCCTGAAATGAGTTAGCATTTTAGCCATTCTGCGTTCCCTCATGCAGAAGTCAACAGCTAACTAATCATTATTTAACACAAGTAAACACGTAAACACAAGCTTAAGAGATATTTACGTTTTGTTCTACGACACAAATATATATCACTAAATACCCCACTGGTGATTGTCTGAATTGTCTGTGTCAATAGAAGATCAGTTCAACAGGTGTCTCAATGAGACTACAAAACATCATCACGCTAACATTAACCGCCTTTAGTTTAGCGGTGGTGACATGAAGTCATCTGACCGTGCTGCAGTTCCTTTGTAGCCTTACACAAGCGTTTTACTTTGCTTTTTACCAATAAATCATAAAAGCGGTGTTAATATGTGGAGATGATCCTGCTGAACAAAACCTGTTAAGTATCATAAACATGTGTTTGCCACAGATATGATTATTCTCTGCAATATTCCAAAATCTAATGGAAAATCCCATTGACCTTTTGCCAACGGATCAAAATGCTATCTTCAGGGTCTAAAGTAGAGACAGGTGCAGGAGACACACACGCACGTCCATAAATCAGCTTCCTGCAGCCCCCATCAGGAGCCTCTGCTCCTTCCACGCTCTCTGCCTCCTTTACTCTCTGTAGGAGCCATCACAGCAGGAGGTTGCCAACTCTGGTGTGAGAAACACACGGTGCCACCTCTGATGTGTGTTCTATCAGCAGAGCCACCTCCACGCCCACACTGCTGCTTCACATGCCGAGTGTGAAGAACAATGTTATAAACACATAGGAAGATATGCTGAGGGTGACATTAGCGTGACACTTATTTCAACCAGATCAGTGACAAAAATACTAATGGGGAAAGAGAGACATTTATATAGATGACAGACACAGCAGCACAATCCGCAAAACTCTGAAAGATGTATAAAGTCATTTCTCTGGCAGTTTCACTTTACTTCGAAGTGTTCTAAGTAGAAGCTATTCTGACAAAAGCCTGAGAGTTATAATTGACGGAGAGAGTGACTGAGAGGGAAAGAGGGAAGCGTAGACTTAGCGTGGGAAATGTATTTTCCAGAGTTGTGAAGATGAGACACGTGTGAAGCTTTGATCGTCTTCCTGAAGGTAATTGAAGTTGTCGTCCGCTTTATTACCTGTTGAACCTGAAGCTGCTCCCCGCTGAGCCGCTGTGCTGCAGGAGCATCTGCTGGATCAGAATGCTAACGCAGCAGGCGGCCAACACAGGGTGCAAGCAGGATGGGGAAATTAAAACATTACCAGGATGGATCTATAAACCGTCAATATGCTCAACAACTGCATGAAAGGTTCAGGTGCTGCCTCAGGAATGGCCGCAGTGTCTGGACAACAAGTTTTCTATTTATGAATCTTAACAATTCTGGACTGGACTTAAACTTGTAACGTTTTTATGGAGGATTGCTCGCTTGAGTTGCAGAGAGACTTTTATTTAACTTAAAGTGATGTTGATGGACAGGGTAGGTTCAAGCTCTTTTCAAACGTCTAAAAGTCGGCAATGAAAGAAAATAAATGACAAAAATACAGATAGTGTGCATTATTATTAAGTGTGTAAATATCCAAAATACAACAAAAAAAAGTAGTTGCACATAATTCATCCCTCCTGGTTTACAATATACTGTATGTACTATGTAGTGTTTCACAAAATGTTGTATTTATATAGTATTTTATTATATAGTTGAACTATATATTGTTTTGTTTATCTTAACTTCCAGATTGCATTATTCAGATTTGCGTGAGCTTACATTTTTTTTGAAATAGTGAATATGTCAATGTCAAAATGTCTCAATGTCAAAGTGATTTAACATATTTTAAATCAAGCCTAAAAGTTATGAAAGAAAATGATAAAAAAAAGCATAATAATCGTTTTATTCACACTTTAGCTCTCTATTAAATGTTGATAAACATATGAAACACATATTCAATTATACAATGTATAATCATTTAGTTTCTAATTTAAATCTGTGTGTACGTTTATATTAGCAAAGACAGAAATGGCTATTGTATTATGTATTCTAAACTCTCTCAGTGTCTCTCACTAACACGTTGCTGTGATCAACCTATTTGACAGGTCGTATTCTGACAGGACTTTGTTGCATCTCTGCATCATGGTAGCTTTTTCTTCTTCTGCAGTCGTTTCATGTTTTCTGACATCTTTAGTCAAACATAAAGGGAACTCAGTTTTTCACAGTGTGTGTTCTCTAATCCTTTTAGTTCCACCCTTGCAAGTGTTGTCCTTACAAGACATTGCTCAGTAGGACATAGTCTGAGGTATTAAAGGTTATTTTCTTTTTTCTGTCATTTCTTTTGTCAGCGTGTGCAAAGCAGAGGAGGTGAAAGACGAGGCGGAGAGCAAAGCTGATGGAGAGGACAGAGACGAGAGCAGCAAGGTGAGGAGAATCTCTCCTGAGACGCAACATTAGAGTTTGAACAGATCTCTCTTTGTCTTCTCCCTTTCTTCCTGAGATTCAGTTAATTTAGTTATGGACACATTATTTACCTCAGCGTAGGCCCTTGAGATAACAAATCAAAATGTTTGGGTGATAAAGTTTCCACTGGGAAACATTTTTTAAATTGTATTTCCTTCCAAGTTGATGGGCAGCCGACCCTAATGCCCTCTGGGTACTCTACAAAATAATTGTGAAGAGTTAATGATGTATTTTAATACCTAAGTAACAACACTTCCAAAACCAGATCAGATAATGTTGTGATTTATTTTTCTTATTGCTTATTTTATTTGGTATCATTTTTATCGTTATGTGCTGTTAAATGTAAACTTCATAGTAACAAAATAGGTTTCAGGTAACTGACCTGTTGGCCCTTGCTACTTTTAATTAAATGCTCCATGAAAATGGAATTTGCAGCTTTATATCAAATATAAAACACAGCTATTTAATGTATGGTTATAAATGTAATCCTAAACTTTTACATATGTTTTGTAATTAAAGAAGAATATTATTTTAATTGTGTATGATTAATTTAATTTGCAAATGTAAGCTGTACAAAGTCAGGTAATGGTACAAAGAAAATATAAGTTAGGCCTCCTTTTGTTTTAATAGTATTAATATTAAAATTGTTTTTGTGTTTGTGGAGAGAAAGGTAGGACTGGCCCGTAACTGAATACCATTGTCTTAATGACGTCAACATATATCATTATTGTATGTTTGTTTACTTCTGTAACATAATGACATCACTACGGAACACTCACGCTTCTATTGGCTAGCGCTTCAACACATTGTGAGTGATAGGCTAAGGGGCGGGACATCTTTAAGCGGATGACCAATCACAACAGAGCCGGCCATCTAACCAATCAGAGCAGACTGGGCTCTGGTTTCAGACAGAGGGTGAAAAGAGGTGCTGCAGCACAGGCAGTATGAGAAAAATAAAGAGCTTTTTGAACATTAAAGCATGGAGACATGTCACAGTAGAAACGATACAAATATGAACCTGAAAATGAGAAGAACATGTCGTCTTGAAGAAAATACTTGTATTCATATGCGTTTGAACCGTAGTGCCCAATCATAACCCAAAATGATATAAATAATAAGTCATCGTAAAGTCCTGTGTATTTCTCTTCAGTCAAATCTTTGTGTGTTCCTTTCACAGGGAGAGGAGACGTGCTCCAGCACCGACACCTCAGACAAGCCTGACAGCACCGGGCCAGGTGAGACTGTTACACACATACACATAAAGTGCAGTCTGTACACTGTGTGCTGCCTCAGGGAGAGACAGAGCTCAATAAGAAGTTACAGTAGGTACATAACAGCATCCTGGCCCCGCTGCAAACTGAAGGGGACACACAGCAGTGTTTGCTGTCGGGCACCGAGGCAAAGAAACAATCTGCCTGAGGAAACCGTCTGCTGAATCTGTGTCTTCTTTCAAATCCTTCTTAACACATACCTTTAGAGGAGAGCCTTTCCTGATCCAACTTGTGTTTTCATTTCCTTTGAATTCATTTTCCTTTTACAAATGGCTGTCTATTGCTAGTCTTATTTTTTTCCACAATATATTGATTTATTTTACACCTAATGTTTTAGTTTGTTCTATCTTAACCATGATCATGTATGAATTATTTATGGAATAATATCTCATGTTCGTTTCCAACACATATATGTAAATTGATGCCAACAAGACATCTGTATAATGTGTTCGTATTTATATTCTTAAAGGCACTTTTATATCATTTCAAGTAGTAATTTAATTTTTTTCTGTGATGATTAAGACATCACCTTAGACATTATGATATCATTTCTCTCCTCTGGGTTCCATTTCACCTATTCAGTTCAACACCTATCATATCCAAACCCATTTCACCTTTCACCTAAAGTCTTCATTTCAGAGAGTGCAATCACATTTAATGAACATCTAAATGTTTAATAGCACTCTGCGGAAAATGACATCCACACTTAGATACTAATACCTTGTTACCAATTATTCTGGTCAGAACCAGGGACATAACAGATAAAGTACAATTGTAAAAATCATCTTTCCATTTTCTCTGTATGTAGTTTAAGGCAGAATATTTATGGGAACACTGGGGTATTCATTTGCATATTTAAAGATGGACCAATTGTTTTATCTGGATTTGCGTTTAATAAAGTTTAACCTTTCACAACTCATCTTAGCAAGTAAAATAGGCATTTTCTTGTGATGGTCGAAAGAGTGAAATATCGGTAAGAATAAAAAAATGGCATCCTTGTTTTAAATAGCTATTTCCATATTGAAATGATACATTTGCTAAATGTAGTAACAAAAAGGATACTTGATTAGGATCAAAATGTCCATCTCTTATTCCCATAAACAGCTTGTTAACCCTCCACAGACTCCCAGAAGATGAAAAACCTAAATATTATTACGGTAATGAAACACGGGTATTTATTAGTACCTGTATCATAAAAATAATGATATCCAGACATCCTTTAGGAGGTATTTCTCTTTTTTTTCTCAAACGTTATACAGTGCTAACTATTTGATCAAATTGTCCGTTCCTTACTCTGATAAATAGCACGTCATTCTCTTAACAGACTCCCACATGTCAGGTGACTTATGCGCCCACGATGCTACACTGGTTACCACGACGACGACGACGACAGCCGGGACAGGGACGGGGGTGGCGTCCCTCCACGTGGTCCAGGCGCGGCCCCTGTGGCCCCCCGGCCCCTCGCTGACGGCCCGCCTGCGCCGCCTCATCACGGCCTTCCAGCGCTTCACGCTGCGCCGCGAGCCAATGCTCCGGCACGAGTTCATGCTACACGACGGCCTCGTTGGCATGGCGATGGGAGTCGGCGGTGCTCACGGTCACCACGCCGGGGGCCCGCTGGCGTGGCAGCTGGGGGAGGAGCTGAGGCGCTGCTCCGTGGTCGCCACGGAACCGGACCCCCTGTTCCTGGAGTGGCAGAGAAGGTAAGCATATGGGAAATTCAGAGAAAAGATTAGTGATAAATCCTAATAATATAAGTATTCATGTATAGCAAGTTTAAAGATAAATATGCGATAAGAATGACTTTATTCTCATTTCAGAAACTTTTGAATATGCATTTCTGTGGGCTTTTATCCTGAAAGTCTTGCTTAATGCTGTCAAACCATGTTGGAAAATAAGAGACAAGGTCATATGATCAATGACATACTATCAGTTTCAGCTTATAGCAACTTTTAAAATCGATATTGGTTCCTTCTAAGGCAGGGTCAAGTTATTGTTTATAGCACACGTTGATGTTCTGAAATGTTTTGAGGTCTGTTTCAGTTATTAATTGTTTGCACTTTTCAAAGACTTACATTTACAACTTTAGAATATAAATATTACTTTTACCAGTTCTCCACCTTTCTCAATTTATATTACCAATGTTTCCGATTCTTAACTTCTTAACGCAAACTTTTTGGAAAACTTTTTTAACACTTTAGATTGCAGTATTCAAGGTATTTCAACTTCATGACGTTCTTTGTGTCACTCATATTGATGAACTGTGCTTCCTTCTTCTTTAAACTTCATAATAAAAGCATTAGAATTTCCCCCATTTTTTACGTTATTCATGAATATGAGAACTGAAACATTATATCTTCATCTTCCTCCCTCTTGTTTCAGGTGGACTCGTCGGGAACAGGCAGATTTTTACCGCACGGTGTCCTCCTTCGGGGTGGTGTACGACCCGGAGAGGAAGTCCTTCGACTGGTCCCAGTTCAGAGCGCTGGCCCGGCTGGAGAGGAAGACGGACGAGAGTCTGGAGAGATACTTCAACTCCTTCGTCAACATGTGCAGGGCGGCCTGCAAGCTGCCTGCCAGGAAGGAAGAAGGTAAACGTGCTGTTATTACATTATGGTGAGGTCTGACAGAAACATCAGAGCTAGACTAAATCTAAAAAACCTGGATGTGGTCATTTTATTAATTCAATTTAATTCATTTTATTGACCAACAGCTTAAGAAGTACAAAACATAAAACATATAGGAGCGATGTTAAGTCAGACATCCTAATAAACTATCAAAAGTAAACAGAAATTATTCATAATATATATATTTCCAACAAATGTAGATTTGGAAAGATTTATTATTTTTCAAAACACTTACTAAAAGCCCTTACAACTAAAGACGTATTTAAGTCTACTAAATTATTTTTCATTTGTCTAAACACTGGTTTAAAAATAGGTAAGATATACAGAAATACAGATAATTTAGATATATGACATTGGATTAATAATGGTACCAATTAAATGTGTTTCAGAGTAAAGTTAAATTCAATATTAATTTGTACCACTGTCAGGAAGCTCTGTATTCCTTTGTTTCACATCCACAGACGGCTGGTTTTATACATCATTTAATATCATATAATATATAATAATAAATCATATAACACATATTATATTATTATATATTTACATTATATACAGGCAAATGTTTGGGGTTGTAGCTGTCCACCTCATGTCCCTCCTTTAGTAACTTTACTGACCCCTGCTGGTGGGAGGACTGTTTTTAGATTTTTTTCCTTTTCAAGTTTGCTGTTTAGTTTGTAAATTGAGTTACTTTTAAACATTTCTTATTTTATCTTGAATTAAAATAAAGCTCAGACCTCCCTCCCCTTTCCCACTCTGTCCCTGCAGGTCTGGTGGACCCGGCGGTGCTGGTGGAACCTCTGACGGAGGAGCGAGCGGCGCGGACCCTGTACCGCATCGAGCTGCTGCGCAAGATCAGAGAGCAGGTGAGCTGTGGAAACAAGGCTTCATCGCTTAGGCCAAATGTCATTGATGCAACTCATGCTTATTGTTCAAAGACACATTAACCTTATTCCTCTCAAAGCTATTTTTCTTTTGTAAACTTCTTTTTGGGGCTCTTTGTCTTCTGAGAATATCTAACATTTGATTGATTTGTATCAGTACTGGCTAACGGAAGTATTATGACGAAAGACAACAATACATGTATCAAGAAACTTCCAATAAACTCATAGCATGTCTCACAGAAACCCCCTCAGGCTGAAGGCTCTGATGACGCACAACTGACATGTTGCATCCTGTTTGCATCACCCAAAGCATGATGGGAGCTTTAGTGGCAGTGCTCTAAAAAGGTTCACCTTACAAGCAAACTAATTAAGTAAAACAATACAAAGGTTATTAGATTTTTAGGTATTTAATATTCAGATATTTGCTCTGGGTTAAAAGCTCAAATGTTTCTATAACAAAGCTTGTTAGCAGGCTGTCCCTCTCATAATACGATACGATATACTTTATTGTCCCTGTAAGGACATTTGTTCTGAACTCTGTCCTGCAGTTCCACATGCATTTACGTATACAAACATTTTGTATCGTATTGATTAGGCTAACTCAATTTAAGCTAGGAGCATCAAAGATGTTTCTTTACTTGGCTAAGAAAACGTAGGACGCAAGAAAGTTTGTGAGTGTGTGTGTGCTAGGTGTATTTTCTGAGGAAACACAAACAACACACACTGCCTGTTGTTATGCCGTTCAGGTGCTCAGTTGGCCGCTCGTCATTGTACCATTTCAAGCTTCAAAGCTGTATTTATCATCTGAATTCTGGGATTATATTTACATTTTCTGAAAGCCAAGTCATTGTTTTTTTTATAATCAGATGAGAATCCCTGTCTCGGACCCTGCCATGTTACTATCAGCTGTCCATCATTATTTCAGGGAGACTTAGGGAGGGACGCTGATCAGAGTAAGAGTAAACAGTGATCGCTGAGGTTGACCCCCATCTTTACAAGCTTCAAAAATGTATTTATCGTCTGAATATGGCGATAAACGTTACATATACCAAAGGCAATGACCAAAACATGAGTTTTTCACATAAATCCACGATTTTACCCTCAGGTTCTCCGTCACCCGCTGCTCTCCGCCCGCCTCCAGCTGTGCCGCCCCTCCCTCTACCTCCCGGTGTGGTGGGAGTCGGGCAAACATGACCGCGACCTCCTGATCGGGGCGGCGCGCCACGGCCTGAGCCGCACCGACTTCTACATCCTGAACGACCCCCAGCTGAGCTTCCTGGAGGCCCACAGGAACTACGTCAGGGGCCACCCCTCCCACCTCCACCCTCAGAGCCACCACTACCCTCACCATCCCGGCATGGTGACACACCCGGGCATCTCCTCTTCCTCCACCTCGTCTCACCCGCAGCTGCCTCATCCTCACTGCTGCCTGTATGACTCCCCTCAGCCCCCCGAGTACCCCCACCAGTCCTCTCACCACCACCACCATCATCACCACCACCATCACCCTGTACCTCCTTCTCCTTCGTCTTCCTCTCACCTCCACCCTCTACCGTTGGATGCCCACAACTCCTCCTCACCTAGTCTGGGAATAGTTCCTGGATCTCGGGGGGACTTCCTGGACTGTCCTCCCCTGGATGAGACTCTGGAGCTGGGCTCTCTGCAGCATGAGGCCGACGCTCTGCACGGAGGGAAGGCCTCCAAAGACGCCCTCAACGGATTCCCATTCAACTCCGCAGCTGGAGGGCAGAGCATGCTCAACTCGTACGGGGTCGGGGGGGCAGACCTGGACTCCAAACTGAGGAGCGACGTGCTCGTGGGGGAGCAGGGGTCCTCGGAGGAGACGGGGCTGATGGCTCCATCCGTGGAGCTCGATCAGTTACAGGTACTTTGCTTTAAATCGATATTCTTATGTTCACTATTTTATTTTCAACCGTCCTTAGATGATATAAATTAAAGACCTACATTTAAAGGGGTCCTACTTCGCTTTTTTTGGGTTTCCCCTTATTGTGTTATAGAGGTTTTTTGTGCATGTAGAAATGGTCTTCATACTGTAGGCAAAAATCCCTGTTCCCTCCAATGGGAGTTTCTCTCCCACCCTGTGCCTGAAACGCCTCCATTGGACTCCTTTGTTCACTAACGTAACATAGTGACATCACTATGTAACACCCTTCTATTGGCTAGCGCTCCACACATTGTATGTGATAGGCTAAGGGGGGACATTTCCGACAAATCTCTAAGCGGTTGACCAATCACAACAGAGCCGGCCAGCTAACCAATCAGAGCAGACTGGACTCTGGTTTCAGACAGAGGTTGAAAAGAGGTGCTGCAGCACAGGCAGTATGAGAACAATAAAGAGCTTTCTGAACATTAAAGCATGGAGACAGACACATCACAGGAGAGGAACAACATGCAAATATGAATTGTAAAATGAGCATAATAGGGCTCCTTTAAGATGAGAGATTACATTGGGGACCAATCCTTTACAAACCCATCAAGAGTTTTTCCTAACATATCTCGCATGGCAAAATAGTTTCTCAAACCAAGCTAAAATATCAGAGGGGTCTTAACCCAACCATTTTTGTAATATGTTATAGCTTGCCGTCACACAAAGCGATTTCAGGAATGAGTCTAATCCCAGAACAAGAAAAAGTGGATATAGAGGTATATCTATCGCAACCCTTTTGTTTTGAACCGACCTCTACAACTTTTGGCAACACCACATGAGATAACTACATGTACAACAGCTGTTCAATTTGGATTCAATAAACCCGGATATTCAAATAAAAATTCCCCTTATTTGTTAAGTCTGCAAAATACGAGAAAATTGTATTTATAATCATTTGCATTTATCACCTTCCCCCCCTTCAGGCTCCCTGGGATGGTACAGACCACTCCAGTCCCGCTCACCACATGTTCAACGAGTCCGATCCCATCCTGGGTCCCTCCACTCTGGAGCCCGGCTTCCTGGAGGAAGAGGACGAGGAGGCTCAGGGGGGAGACAGAGGAGGGGAGGAAGGGGGGACTCTGGAGGAATGTCTGGGCCTCCCACCCTCATCCTCTCCCTCCCACCCCTCTGCAGGAGACTCTGTGGAGCCGCTGTCCTCCAGTTACATGCTCTTCAAGGTGGGTTTTTGTATCATGTGCCATCAGGGGAACATTAGTGACTGGCAGAGTTAGTCCTTTAAAATATGAAAACAGTATGTTTAGTAAGTGGTGCATACAATAGACGCCAAACTATAAACGTACTTTTATAGGATTGTATTGAAAAGAGTAAGGTAGAAAGAAAAAAAAACTACTCTGAGAAAATGTAGCTAAATGTAGAAGAAAGTTCAGGCAGATTTTTTAAATAGACTCAACTATCTGCTTGTGAAAATATTCAATAAGTGGGTCATATTGGCATAAAGCCCCCACTTCAATGGTCAGGGCTGAGACTGGTGCTGGAGAACAATAGTCAATATTTGAATGGCATTTAACTATTTGTTTTGGTGTGCGAATAAATTAGATGTCTATTTTTTATAAATTATGTAGCAGGGGATTTTTTAAAAGGTTTTATTAATATGACACCAACAATTAAAAGAAGAACACAGGAAACAAGGACTGGACAGGTAATTTGAATACAAATATTTATGTATATATTTATTTTGTCGCAAATAGCTAAATCACATAATTGAAAATGCATGCACTTAAGTCAAACTAAAGTCTTTAAAGATATGAATAAAACGTTATTTGTTTTAAATTATAATTGATTAAAGGTGGGGTAGTTAAGTTTGAGAAACCGGCTCGAGATACACTTTTTGTTATATTCCATGGAATGCTCTTAACATCCCGATAGCAATGAATATCTTAAGTGCTTTGACAAAAAATCCATAAAAAAATGTCATCTGTGGAAGCCGTAGTACTGTAAAAAGTACGACCAGTCATTTTAGCCGGCTGTGTATTTTCAAATTCTAGCGCACTCGAGCTGGTTTCTCCAAAATTACCTACCCCACCTTTAACCTTTTGAAACTGGTATTTTTTTTAACATTAAATAATCTTAATTAATCATCAGAATACTTTTTTTATCGCAGGTAAAAAAAAATGGTGACAGTTTCTCTAGATAAGAATTACATTAATGATAATAATTTGAAAAACAACAGTTTTTTTCATTTAAAGGTGGGGTAGGTAATTTTGGAGAAACCAGCTCGAGTGCGCTAGAATTTGAAAATACACAGCCACTTCCTTACAGAGCCCCTCCTCCAACACACACGAACGTGCACATGACCAATGAGGGCACGAGATAAGTTTGTGCACAGATGGAAGGCTGACAGGCAGGTAGGCCATCCAGTTATTTTAGCCGGGCCGGCTAAAATGATTGGTCGTGCTTTTTACAGTACTACGGCTTCCACAGATGAAATTCTTTTATGGATTTTTTGTCAAAGCACTTAAGATATTCATTGCTATCGGGATGTTAAGAGCATTCCATGGAATATAACAAAAAGTGTATCTCGAGCCGGTTTCTCAAACTTACCTACCCCACCTTTAAGAATAAAAAATAAATAATAATAAATAAAGAAGACAAATATTTGTACAAACATAAGAATTGTATATAAGAATGTGCAATTAGAAGATAAAACAAAATGTTTTTTTTAAAGAAACATAAGAACTTAAAATAAAATGTGCTAATTGTACTATAACATATCAAATTAATTACAATATTTAATCTGATGTATTGTGAGTCTAAGAATCCAGTAAATCTCATTTTGACAATTTGTTCTGTTTTCAGGACATTGGTGTGAGCGAGGAACCCAGCGCAGATCAGACCGATCTGTCAGCGAGTCCCCCCCCTCCTTACGTCCCGCCTCCTCCCCTCTCTCTGTCTGACATCACTGCTCCTCATGATAGGCTGGGACACTCTGATGTCACTGCGAGCCTGACCAATCCTGTGGATGAGGAGGCAGGAGAACAGGAAGCGGGCGCCGGGTTCGAGTTTGACGACAAGGAAGAAGAAGAAGAAGAAGTGGAAGACTTGTCGGGGGTGCAGAACTTGGGGAAGCAAGGAGATCAGAGCCTGGGAAGAGAGGAGTGTGATCCAGAGCAAGGTATGTCTAAAATAAGTGTTTTTACACCAGTGGCCAAAAGACACACATGTCTGTTTCCTTAAAAGTGTCGGTTAAGTGTCATTATCCTTCCTAAAGCATATGAAATAATCCAACGGAACAAATAAAAAAACTCTGAATTTGTTGACACTCAAAATAAGCAATATTGAAAGATAGCAATATCCTCAGAAATATTATAAAAACGTATACATACATAAAAGCCAAAAAAAAACAATGACAAAATGTTTTGGTAAATAATCATCTGGAGTGGAGTGCACCAGCTGGGCGTAAAAAAGTAGGTCTTAACTCTAACGTCGGGCTTAGCTACGTTGACTTAGTGATTCAAATTTACACCGAGTGCACCCAGCCTGACTAGTCACGGTCCTAGCTGCGCCATGTCTTAAGATGCGCGTCCACGTCGATACACGCAAAACAGTTATTGTCGCCAAGCAACACACGTCTACATAATATTCTCGATTCAAAGCAGCCCGTTAGCGTAAAATCTGAGCGCAATCAGCACCTGCAAGGTTGGGCAGAGCGCAGCGTTTCTGTCTGATACATGCTGGAGTTGAGGGGAGATCTCCTCGATTAATTCTAAAAGAGCTTGTGTGCCGAAACGAAACCTCTCTATCAGCTCACTGTCCGAATAGATGTCCAGTGGGTTTGTTCGATCACGGACGACTCTTTGTCGTCTTAATGCCCTTCCGTTGTTAAACCTGTAAACAAGACGCACTGCCATCGTTATTTTCCTTCTTGCCTGTTTTACGTTACTATGGATACTAGTCTGTCTTTCCGATTTACGCCTGCTCTAGGCGTAAAAGTTACACCCAGGCGCAACGTATACAGGGCTTAAGTCTTAGTGGTGCACTAGTCATAACTTTAGTTTGGTCGTAACCTTCGGTCCTACGTCCGACGTAGAGTTACGCCCAGTCTTACGCTGGTGCATTCCACTCCAGGATTGTAGTGTATAACATTTACATTTTACTGTAATTCAGCCTTTAAAACCAGTAAAAACAACATTTACAATATTTAAATATCTAAATTCTAAGACGATATCTAGTCTCACATCAGGATATTGATATTTAGCCGAGCCCTTCATTAAACTAAACTCTCAACAGTAGATACACTATGTATCCAAGACACATTTCGAAATTGAAGTCGGACTTATCTTAATATTTTCAGGCAATACTAAAAATCGTGATGGTTTGTCCTTACAGATGCAGACCAAAGTTTGGGAGGCTCGAATTCGCCCATGGATGTAGCACAAATGGACGGAATAGGGCCGGACCCTATCCTTGGGGAACAAGATGAACAAAACCCTCATGAGAATCATAAAGAGGGGTTACCACCTTATCTGGGGAAGCTGGAAGAGCAGGGTAGCCTGGCGTGTCCCGAGTCGATTGAAGAGCCCGGAGAGGAAGTGGACGGGTTCATTTTGTACCAGGCGGTCGAGGAAGAGACCATGGAGAACTCTCTGGACACTGACACCTTGATGGGGAGCGCTACTGGAGAGGAGGAGGGTCCGGTGGAGTGCACCAACCTGGCGGATCAGGTGGATGAGATCTCTGAAGGGCATCACGTTTCTCTTATGGACGAAACACCAATGAAAGACGTCAAACCCAACAAGATGGTGCTGCAGAGCATTTACTCTGAATACGCACCACCTTCCTGCCCTGATGCTTCTGTCTCGACTCCTAATGGAGCATTAAAGCCCAATGACACCAGTACAAAAAGTTCTGGAGTAAAAACTGCAGAGTCCATGGATCAGGAAGACTACAGAGTTGAACATCTGAACTTGCCAGATGGCGGCAGAAACAAGAATAGAGTCCTGACGTTTTCCCTTGATCAGGACAGCAAAGTCAATCTTCTGGAGCAGAATGAAATGGCTCTACCTTCAAACAGCATTGAAACAAAGCCATCTGATCTGAAGTTCTCCCTTCTACCAGACAGAGGTGCTGAGAAGAAACCACAGCCACAAGAGCTGCCGGTTAAGTTAGAGGAAACAAAGACAGAAGCTTTGGACGTTTACCCCGACAGCTCTGAGCTCAAACACGGAAGATTCCTTCCCTACCGTGTAAAGTCAGAGAACTCGGTGACCAAAGCTGAGCAGTTAGACTATCCGGTCAAACCAGAAACTCCGGAGACCAAACCTGAAGATCTCAGCCTATCAATGAAGACCGTAGACCGGAAACCAGAAGTTCTCCAGTTTGCAGCGTACTCTGAAATCAAACCTGAAGCCAAACCAATGGCTTATTGTTTTGCCACTTATCCAGATGGAGTTAAGACTGAGACGGAGCCGGAGGACTTGAGTACGACAGCCTTTGTGGACAGGTCCGCTATCAAGCCTGAAGCCAAGTCAGAAGGTCTGGAGTTCACTAACTACCCAGACAGCTCGGAGATTAAACCAGAGGCGAAGCCGGAGGACCTGGCCTTCTCATCTTTACCAGAGATAAAAGCTGAGACCAAGCAGGAGCTGCTGGAGGCAGACAGCACCGTCCTCACCCCCAAGCTGGAGCAGGGGGAAGGGCTGGGGGACGCCCCGGAGAGTCTGGGGGGGAGAGGCCCAGTGAAGGAGGAGAGGCCGAGTACACCAGGTGAGAAGTCAGAGTTTTAGAAAGAGATCATTGTTTAAGGAGGATGATAAAGAGTAGAAGTACAACATGGCGGCCTACTGCTCCTAATACTAGGATAGGTCAAAGGCAGAGACTCATTTGCACTGTGCGTTTCTGCGTACTTGTACATGTGTGTGGCGATTAAAGAGGATTTCATACGAATCCTCCGTTACCAATTTTGTTTCCATTAATCATTAACTAATTATGAATGTATATATCATCGATTATCTTATTAACTCTATACATTTACTATAAAATGACAGAAAGTGTTAACAGAGACCAACTGATCTCTTCTATTTATCTTATACATTTCTCAGGAAAAAAATAATTATAAAGCATTTTTTATTAAGAAACATGTCAAAGTTCAAATGTGTCGCATTTTAGAGATAAAACCAGCCTATGTTTAGTAATATCTCCTTTGAGAATGGCCTGAAATGATAAATAACAATGGTTAAATGAATTTTCTATTGATTGTACAGGAAATTAAATTGAAATGCTTCTAAAAGCCAGGCGTGTTGTTGAGCTGTGACGTGTCCCCCTCTCCCTCAGTGCCCCTGGTGGAGGGCTATGGAGGCAGCCCCAGGTTTGCGGCTCCTATTTCTGTGTGTGAGATTCCCGACAGCCTCCACGACAGCCGGGAGCCGACCATCGCTCAGCTGCTGCAGGAGAAAGCTCTCTACTCGTTCTCTGAGTGGCCCAAGGTACCCAATTGTGTCCAACATATCTGTCAAGATGTTTTTAGAAAATGAAAAACTTTGAAATGAGCTTATTTTTTATTTCACTTTGTTCATTATAGTAGGCCAGTATCTGTAAGGGTTTCTTTAAGGTTATTCCCCCTAATATTGTATCACCATGCACCTAAAAGCTGTCTTTTCTGTTGTAAGAAGGCAACATTTTGACTTGACCACATGTTTATACAGTCAGAAATCAAGTGGTGAGTTTTTGGTGTGATGCCTGAAATAAGATATGTGGTTAACACAAGCTTAAGAGATTTTCACGTTTTGTTCTACGACAAAATATTAGTCAGTAAATACCCACTAGGGAATGTCTGAAGCTTTTGTGTCATAAAAATTGCGGTTGAAAACAAGTTGTCCGGCAGTGGCTCAGTCAGTAGGGGCTTGGACTGTGAGCCGTAGGGTCACCGGTTCAAGTCCCCAACCAGACCTAAATATGGAGTGTGGACTGCTACTTGGGGAGGTCCCAGTTCACCTCCTCACCCCCCCCCCCCCCCCACTCCCATTGCTCCCCGGACGCTGTACAATAGCTGCCCACTGCTCCTAGTACTAGACTCCTGGTACTAGGATGGGTTAAATGCAGAGGCCACATTTCACTGTGTGTGCTGTGTGCTCTGCATGTGTGACCATTAAAGAGGGGTTCATCCCTCCCTATTCTTCTTCTAAAGTGACCTAACGAGACTACAATTCATCAGACCGAACATTAGCCGCCTTTAGCTTAGCGGTGGTGACGTGAAATCATGTTTTTTTACTTCTGGCAATTGCATTTACGTTCATCATAAGGTGGTGTTAATGTGTCGAGATTATAAAGAGATAAAATATAGTAGAAATTTCAAATCAGCTGTTTTGGATCCATGTAATTACATTTTTGTTCGCCTATTATTATCTTTCAATCCAATTTCCAGCTATTTTATATTATCGAAAAAGATAAATAATGATCTAAGGAGAACTCTATTCATGCGTCTCCCAGTGGTTTTAGTGGAACGTTGATACATTTCCTTTAATTGTGTTGAGTAAAACAAAATGTATAGCCATTTTGACCAATGCCTATGCTGTTGTGTGGCCCCCTGTAGGACCGGGTGATCATCAACCGCCTGGACAGCATCTGCCACGCCATCCTGAAGGGGAAGTGGCCTTCGTCCATTGAGCAGTACGACTCCCCCGGCTCCATGGTGGCCAACTCCTGCCTGGCCACCAGCATCGCCCAGCACCACCAGCGAGCCAGCTTCCTCACCGCCTCCAGCTCTGTCCCCAGCCAGGCCAGGGGTCAGCAGACCAGCGCCGGGCTGGGCTTCTCCCTCCCTCCCCCCCTCACAAGGCTGCCTAAGGTGAGAACATCCCTGGGAAACACTGACTGTATGAAACTAACTCTCTGCTGTACATATCTATGCATTTGTCATCCGTCAACATGTATCTCCACTATCTCATGCCATGGTTCATAAATGGTGTCCATGCTAATGGTGCTAATACACTCCTGATAGCTAACAGACTCTGAAAGTGCATCATCACTTTTACTTTTTATTATATTTGTATTCATGTATTTAGTATTGCTCTTTCCAGACAATTTTAATAGGTTTTACATTTTTTTTTATAAACCTAATTTTTGTTTAATCCACTCTTTGTAATTTGCTAATAATGCTAAAATAACATTATGTAGATATATTTGACACATGATTTAATGTACCTTTGTTCGATCTGTAGCTCAACACATAAAAGATCTATTCATTTGTATACATACAAAAATAGTTAAATATGGAGCAATTTCCCACTTGGCACCTCACACCATTGTTTCTTCTTTGTAAAGTTTTGTCTCTGTAATGTTGATATTATACATGTTGAAATCAGACTTGGGCAATAATGATTTAAAAGGCATATATGTATAGAAACAGTATTTATTCACTTTAATAACAGAAATTGAAAGAATATTGTAAAACTATATTCGGTCATTTACACCCAATTTAGGGTCTGAAATATTATCTATACAGTGTGTTTCATTCAACATGATTGTTTCCCAATGTTACACACTATAGACTAGAGGACAGATTGTCCTGCTCTTTCAAATAAGTAAGAAAGCATATTTTGAGTTTTGTAAACTGTTAGAAACAGGGGATTCTTAAAGTTATGCATTTGAAGGTTTTCCCATGAGACTGATTTTGATAGGTCACATAATCGAGCTCTCTGAGGTAAACACATCAGGCAGGATTCATTTAAATAAGTTTAGAACTTGAAACAAAAAGAAAATATAAATTCAAATACAAAATCTGCTGAGCTGTCAGCCTCATGTTGTACCCAGGTCTGGTTGATAGCCCTCACTGTGTTGTGTCTCAGTCCATATGTGTGTCTAACAAACATCATCTCTCTCCCATCTTGTCTGCCCCTCACCCACCCTGTCCACTCTGATAGTACATGTCGCGGGGCGGCGCATGCGGGCGCGGAGCTTGGCGCCTCACCTCCTTGCCTCTCTTACAGGAGAGGCTGGTGGCTCCTCCCTACCTCCCCGAGCTCAAACGAGCGGGGGGGCGGAGGTCCTTCGACTATGAAGCCGCTGCTGCTGCAGCCAAGGTATTAGGCGGGAAATCGGCACCGTCATGCCACACTGCCACCACCACGAGTTCCAGTGGTGCCTCTGCGATGGTGGCTCCGCCCTCTCATCGCACGGGGGCCATGTTGATTAACGGCTGGCAGGAAACAGCCATAGATCTCACCAAGTCCTCCGGAGAAATAAGCACCACCAGTGGCATGGGGTCAGGAGGAGCTGTGGGACTCAGCGGTCACAAGCTGCCCCCTCCACCCCCCATCACAGCGCCGCTCTCGGGCCCCGTGGGGATCGACATGGCCGGGATCCTGCAGGCGGGGCTCATCCACCCTGTTACGGGGCAGATAGTTAACGGGAGCCTGAGGGGAGATGACTCCCTGAGGAGGAGGAGAGGCAGGAGGAGAAACGTTGAAGCTCTGTACTCTGAGTTCACCAAGAGCAGAGGACTGCACCTCGCCGACACTCAGGTGGGTGCAGGGAGGAGTAAGGGCGTAGGGTAGCTCTGATTGTGTGTGCTTCACTGTGAGGGGGAAAAGTCATATCAAAAAGATGCAGGAGGAAACCCCTCTCCCTGCTCAGAGGTTAAAACAGCTGTTTGTGTGTCTTTCAGCTGCAGGGCCGGGTGGATGTGATCAGCCACTCCTCCGTCTCCTCCTCCACCTCCTCGCCGTCCCCTTCTCCTTCTGACCGACCCGCCGGCCCTCCAACACCGTCCTCCTCTTCTACGCCCACCCCCACGCAGACCCCCCCTCAGCCGGAGATCGTGGCCATCGACAGAGAGGCGGCCAGCAAAGGTCTGATGGAGTGGCTGAGGCAGAACCCGGGCTACAGCATGGACCTGCCCGCCTTCTCTCACGTGAGTCTGATGTTTGTTTAACTGCTTGGATGTTTAATGAAGTTTATCATCTAGGGCTTGCAATTAGACTCTCACTATAACCCTGAAGAAAGGCTCACTTCACCATTAGCATCCAACTCTTTTTAAACAGTGCAATTCAGCATTAATATCCTATAAATAGTTATACGCCACTGCATATATAATGTAATATACATACACTTTATATATTAAAGAACTGTGCAATTTTGACTTTGAACTTTGCCTCCCCCCCACAGTCTGGAGCAGGGCTGTTACACAGCTTTGTGGAGCGTCCCAAGCAGAGGAGGCATCGCTGTAAAGACCCCACCAAGCTGGACATCAACTCTCTGACGGGGGAGGAGAGGGTCCCTGTGGTGCACCGAGGCACCGGACGCAGGGTACAGCACACACACACACACACACACACACACACACACACACACACACACACACACACACACACACACACACACACACACACACACACACACACACACACACACACACACACACACACACACACACAGTGGCAATATTTCTGACTGCATGAATACATACTATATTGTGTATGTTGGTCACTGGTTTAAGTCCAGCCATTTTGCTTTAAAAATGTGCATGTGTGTATTTCAACTGTACAAATGTTTATAACAAAACCGAGAGAAAACCGAATTTCCCCTAGTGGGATGATAAACTGTCTACTTTATGATAAATAACGTCTATACTGAGTCATGTGAGAAACGATCCAGTTTTCCATACATTTGGGAATGCAGGAAAATCTTGAATATTATTAGTGTTATTGTTCTAATACGTGTGTTTTCTTGCCTTGCAGCTGGGTGGTGCTATGGCTCCGGCCATAAAGGAGCTGTCCAGGTGGCTGGATGCCAACTCAGAGTACTATGTAGCTCCAGACTGGGCTGACGTGGTCAAACACTCTGTGAGTAGAATACACCGTGTTGTCAGTCATAAACATTCCTGCAGCAAATGTGTACCCTTTGTCGTTTTCCCATTTTTACTACTATTGTTGTTTAATGTTACTTTGGATTCCTAATTTCTATTTAATGAATTTACATTATGAAATTACATTTAAATACATTTATGAAAAGCAAAGGTATAAAATATAAGTATAATACAAACAGTGTAGTGTGAGATATGAATAGTTATTTGATTTAATAAAAGGCAGCAGCAAATATAAAAGCCTTCAGTATTGATGCTCTCTTAACCTGGCTTTTAACAACAGGAAAGGACACGGGGGATGTTGGGAATCAAATTGTTTATTTTAATTACATAAACAAATTAACAAATATCTGCAAATATGAGGTGTGAGTCAGAAACATCAGTAATGTAGATGTGTGAGCTTTCTGTAGTGTATGGTGTTTTTTGCACGAGCCAAAGATAAACAGGTAGCGGCTCTCAGGGGGAAACGTTGGTGTTGCCTTCAGAGACAAAGGATAAGATAGTGATAAGCCAGAGCACAGTTCAGCAGTAAGACAGGGGCCGTCACAGTATGGATTCCTTTCTTCTGTCACACAGTCACTGTTATCTTCTTCCTCCATGACCCCCCCCCCCCCTGCAGGGTTTCCTCCCTGAGGGTCAGTTCTCCCGGATCCTGACAGAGCCAGTCAACAGAGACTTGGGCTCTCGGCGCCGAGGGCGACGGCCTCGCAGCGAGATGCCCAAACCCCTCCTCTCCGTCTCTGACTCCGCCTCCTCTGCTCTCGGTCCCCCTCTCTACATGAATGGAGGGTTGATTGGCAGCATGGACTCCATGGTGGCCATGCAGAACCTCCGGGGGGGGATCTCAGGGATCCCCATCTCGGGCATCATGGCGGCTGGATACCCTCACGGCTTCTCTGCAGCGGTGCAGGCTGGGGGGGGCCGGGGGGTCGGCAGAAGACGCCAAGAACGGGTTGAGTATGTTACCCATGATGCTCCACGGCATCCCGCACCCCCATGGGGCTGGGATCCCTCAACACGCCTTGTTCAGTGTCGGCGCGATGATGGCGCACACCCCTCACCCCAGCTCCTCCTCTTCCTCCTCGCTGTCTGCCGCAAAGGTCACCACGACAACCGCACCGTCTACATCGGAGGCGACCAGCCCCTCATCGACCACGCCCGCCGACAGAGAGAGCAGCGGCCCCCCCCGGCTCAGGGGGAGAGAAGGAGAGGAGCCAGGAGGAGAGAGGAGCAGCCAACAAGAGAGCAGGGGTGGGGGAGGCGGCGGCCATCATCACTTCCACCAGCAGGGCCCACATCGGAGCTGCCCACCTGGGGGGGGGCAGCCATCTCACCTTCAACCCCTTCCTGATCCCCGGCATGTCCCACGGCCTGCTGTACCCGCACATGTTCCTCCCCCATGGGGGCATCATGGCGCTGCCCGCCATGCCCCCCGGAGCGGGGGACGGCTCCCCCGGCAGCCCCAAGAGGAGGAGGAAGAGGGGGAGGGAGGAGGGGGAGAGGGAGGAGGAGAGGGAGAAGGCAGCGAAGGTAGAGGAGACAGAAAGTACAGTTAAGGCTAACGTCTCCTCCCCCCCAGCCTCCTCCTCTTCTCCATCCGTCCCCTCTAGCTCGGATCCAGACCCCACTGAACAGCCCCAGGAACCGGACTCCCATAACCCCCCCGAGGGAGCTGCAGCAGAGGGGAAGGAGGAGAGATCGGAGGACACAGCAGGAGAGGCGGCGGAGGAGGAGCAGCGGGACCCTGAGGAGCAGAGACAGGGGGAGGAGGCGTAGAGGGGGAGAAACTGTCTCCTCCATGCCCAGCGACTGAGCAACAGTGTAAAGTTTGTGCCGTGTCTGTCAGTCAATGTCCATGTAAAGACTTTTATTATGATGATGACTAATGATGATGATTATATCCAACTTGGTTATGTTTATATACCAAGACCCCACCCACCCTCTCCACTCCCTCCTTGTATACAAAAAAGAACTGTGTAAGAAACCTCTGTGTATTCTTCCCCTTCATTCTGCATCGAGACTCGTCAGGACATTTCTCAACACACACCCCCACACACACTGCAGGCAAGATGTGGTAACCAAGGAGCAGCTTTGGCAGTAATGATCCGGTTATAAGCAGAAGGTGGTGTGACGCAGAGTTTAGTTTGGTGTGTTTGCGCGGAGGTGGCTCTGTAAAGTGTAAGAATTTCTCACCACAGTTTGGGAATTCAGAGAAGCACTTGTGTATCTTTTTGTTTAAGGTCCAAACCTGAGCCTGTCTTGTTATTTTCACTTCTGCCACAGTCCACTAAATACATTTTGGGGGATTATATCTGTGCAATGTTCAAAGATTAACCTGGAAGTGTGTCTTTGTGACACTGAAGAGTCTCAACCAGCATTCCCAGACACATGTGACACTAAAACACCTTTTCTTTTTCAATACTAAAGGAAAACTCTGATAAACCCCTTTATGCAAGAACTAATCTACCTAAAAAACAAAGTGTGGCCCAAAACCTTTTCAGAGTGTAGCCCTTTTGAATATTTTCAATTATCGCGATGTGACCCAAAGAACAAAATGACATTTGGGAAAGCTGCCTAATTATAAAAAAAACCATTTGTTTCTGTTCTCAAATTTAGCTAATTGTGACTGTAATATTGTCAAAAAAGTCACAAAACAAGTGAGTTTAATATTACCCAGGCATGGATGTTGTATCTTTGTGTAAGATAGCATTATCAGCCAACCCCCCCTTCCCATTTTAAATACTGTCAGTCATATTTCTTTTTTTGCTATTATCAATGCTATGGCGTTGCTGCTACAACTTCTTTTGAAAAAGGAGTTCAGAGAGAGTTCAATGTTCTTTACTCTTCACACTAATGTAATAATCCAGATTCCTAGAAGTGCAACAGATATTCATAACAAGAACTCCAACTTCTGCTTTTATTGATAAAAGCAGAGAACAATCATGAGATTATTCCTTTTTTTAGATCATTTTATTATCTTAATTCTCAGACACAAGGTCACTTTGAGAGAACTGCCCATCAAGTGTGCAGGAACATGAAATAAATGTCAAAGTGAAGAGCGCAGTCTGGCCACTAGGGGGCGTTAGGAGGTAGATTTTATTCTAAACTGCAAATGATTAAGACATTTCTTTTTGTAAGCCCTGAGGCTGCTAACAGTATATATAGTCCCACATGGAGTGAATCCAAATCATTGACAGTGTGCTCATCAGGAATAGTGTAAAGATGACCTGTAGCAACTCACCGCCTGCATGGCCAAACTGTCCTCGGTTTACTTCTTAATTCTGTGATCAGAAACATCTTATCTGTCGACCATCTGAGCATCGAAAGAGAATATCCAGTTTTACAGATAAAACAGGAAGAGGAGGGATACAAGTGGTGTGAATCGCCCTGGTTGAGTGCCTCTTCGTCTCGGATTCGTTTTAATAGCAGTTCATCGTAAGAGTTTCTGAATATGTAAATCTCTCGCTGTATATTGCAGGATTTTCTTTTCTTTCTTTAAGTGCACCATTTATTTTTTCACCTTTGGTTTTGTTCCTCCATTGGGAAAAAGAATACTTGACAGATGCAAGTGGGAGTTTTGCATTGAGGTTAGTCCTAGTGTTTTGGGGTATCAAACAGACTGTACTGTACATTACATAGATGCAAGTCACTTGTTTTATTCAGTCTTTTCAGAACAGGGTCTGCATTTTGGGGGTTATATGTCAAATATTTCCGTTTTATGATGTTGGACTTCACTTTGTTTTGTTTTCATACATGAAAACATTATTTTTGCACAATGTCTTTACGTGAATGTTAACCTGTACTGTCTTGTATTTCTTTTACGTGTGTGAGAGTGTGTGTGAGAGAGTGTGAGTCTGTGTGCATGCATGCGCACACCTGTCGTCGTGTTTCTACTTACAGGTCACATTTGTTGTCGAAAAAAAAAACATAGTTGTTGCCTTGTCACATGTTTGTGGCTACATATAATTTATTATATTTTTCTTTTTGCTTCGCCAAACTTTCACCAAATATGACATTCTTTTTTCTCTTAGTTTCATTATGTATTATTCAAAGTAAAATGCCTTATTTAGCTAGTATTTTTTGTATTGATGTTCCGTTACATCTCCATATAGGGACATGTTATTGTGTTGTCTTCAGTTAGTCCTTCGCTTGTATGCGTACACGGCCTTTGGTGTTGTGCATTATCTTCAAAATCCAACAGTAATGCGATGCTACCACTGTCCAAATCACTACGTTAATTCCCAAAAATCAATCAGTCCTCCCTCAAAGCACAAATGGAGAGTTAACTAAATGTGTCTGTTTTCTTAGCAGTGCCTCTAAAATTACTCTAAATAGTTTCTCTTTTTGTGGTCTACACTTCATCATCCTCGGGAAAATGAGAACTCTTTCTTGGATTTCATTTGCAGATGATACCATGCTGTTCGTTAAAGGGGAATTGTGGAATGTGAAAACATTTATTCATAAGATAATCATGGTGCTTAAAAAACCGCACCGCACTAACACTAGGCTATGCTATCAGGGATGCTATTGATGTGCGTCAAGGAATTGTGGGAGGCCATTATCTCCTTTTCTTTTGTAAAGTACGGTCCGAAGCCCGTTACCTCAAAATGTAGATAAAAGAGTGGTGCAGTAATGAGTCCTTAAAACCCGGAAAAGACTTAAAAGTGTGATTTTGTGAACGTGATTGTGGTAAGATGCTTGAAATAGGGTCTGTGGTTAACACAAGCTAAGGAGATTTTCACGTTTTGTTCAACAACATAAAATACGTCAGTAAACACTCCACTCCTGAATGTCCCAAGCTTCTATGTGTCATTAGAATGGCGGTTGCTAACAAGACACTAAATAAACGACAAAACGTCATCACACCGAAGATTAGCCGCCTTTAGCTTAGCAGTGGTGATGTACAGACCTTGGTGTAGTTCGGTTATCGTCTTACGTTAGCTTTTTATTTCTGCAGATTTCATTTACGCTTCAAAAAACACAAATTGGTGTTGATCTGTGGAAATAATCCTGTTGAAAAAAACGGCTTCAATATAATAAACGTGCGTTGGCAAGAAAGCTCTTTTTGCAAATGGAAAAATCCCATTTTGTAGAGGGAGCCCTATTGGGATGCTAACTTCCGCGTCAACGTACAAAAATCCATCATCACCGCACCACTCTATTCTACCAGCTATAACTATGGCTGCTACTTACTGTACTGTAGATTGTTCCGGATCATTTCAAACAGTAATCTAATACAAGAAGACTTTTTGAGCGCAACCTGTGACATTGTTCTCTTGAAATTTCAAAAACTGTACAGAGTTAGTTCTCCCCCTCTGGTGAACAATATTATTACCAGTTGATTGGTAACAACAACATTCTGTAATTTCCCTTTAACGAAGGCTATTTAATCCCATAGCGTTCTCTCACTGCACGAGGCCTTCTGTTTGGTATCCAGCATGTCTAGGATGGTATTGCACACACAGTACATATCCAGTTTTTGATTGTTCTGTGTTTGTCCAGATTCCTGGGGAAAAAGCATCAGAAGAGGAAACAATTTGTTACTTACGACACCTAAAGTATCTTAACTTTAAAAGCCGCAGCCCATGTATGCACATCATTTCCTTTTACTGGCATGTCCTCGTGTGAAAACTTGAAGCAAAGGTATGTGACAGCAGGTGGAGGTCGATGGATGGCTCTGTATTGTCTGTTCATGTCACACCATGCCTTCTTTAACAGTGTTCTGTCTTTTCATTGAAATCCTTTTACTCCTTCAGAACCTCAAAATGTTTTTTATCTCTTATCATGAATAATGTATTTATTGTATAGTTACTGTCTTTACATTGTTGTCTCATGACTGAATAATGGCTGGTTTTGTTTCTCTTGAACGTCCCCTTTAAAAAAAACTTTTGGTTCACATGGAAAATTCCTCTGCTTTGCTTTGTAGCCCTGGCCACCTGCTTTTAAATGCAATGACTCCGTAAAAATACCTAATATCAAAATGGCGGAACTAAGCTAAATAATAATCCGTTGGTCCAAAATTATAAAATGACCACGTGACTGCATTTCAAGAACAAATGACTGAACCATCAGCTTCAGAAACTGCATACCTGAACAAGAAAGCAAGCTTAGATAAATTCCTTTTTATTTACGCTGTATTGAAAAAAAAAAAAAAAAATGGATTGTTAATCATGTAGTTTTAGTTTCAGAGTCGTCAATTCGGTAAAACATATTTACAACATCCATACAAACGAAATGAGAGGGCAGATGCTGGGTTGCGTGGCCTGATGTGTTTCATTTCCTTTTCATTAGATCTAAAAAATGTGTCCTTTAAAAATGATGATCCTGGGGAAATATTTGATGACCATGTCGTCTTTGGCTGTTGCTCAACTGGGACCCAAACATTCATTTGCAAGTGACATGATCATGAAAAGAAAGAAATGTGAATGTAGCCAGGTCATGTGGGGGGGGGAATCCAAACACACTCCATAAAGCTCCAATTCTGTTCATTATTAAGCAGCAACAAAAAAAAACCGTCCTTTATGTTCTGTCTTATTCATTACAGGCTGGTTTCACAGATACTAAACAACTTTCTTAAAAGCAGAAGTGAAGACATCATAACAGTCACAGCTTCTGGATTTATCCCACTCATGTTGTAGTTTTAGACTACCCTAAACTGTAAATCCCTCTAAAGAAATCTTCTGTTTCTTCAAAATAAAAGCGTGACAAAGGGGCTGCCCGAATAAATGAATAGGTTCATAAAAATGAAATAAAATCAAACCACTATGACTTTTTTTTTGCATCCATAAATTGTTCTTGAGTTAGATTTTAGGACAGATTATTTTTCTGAGGCATGCTCAAAAGAAACAAACACTTAAAAAACAGATCTTTGTGAAAGAAAGCCAGAAGTATAAATATTTGCAGGTTCAGACAGTTGATCAGAAAGGCAAATGAATGAGAACTTCACTCCACCTCCCAACTCATGTCTGTGAAGCCACCCAGCTCAATATAACAAATAAAGGACGAGTTCAAAAGCGTGACTGTTCACCACTCCTGTACTCACGTTATGGAACCGAGTGCAATGCAATCCACACGGATGTTGTTCTTAAAACGGAAGAAAAGACAAATACTGGCTGCTCCTGGAGTCAGGCCGTTACTCAGTAAGTTGTACGGTGGGGTTTTTATCTAGTTTCTTTCTTTTCTTTTCTTATTTGTAACTATAGCTCTCTGTATTCCCATGTGGACCAATCTCATGAGTCAAAACATGGTAATTGTGATCTTTTATCGTGCAATAAAAGATGACTTTCAACTTTCTCTTGTCTTTGGTGAGTACTTCATTAATCACTTCTGCTGAATTCTGAATGTCATTATTTTGTTTTAAATTTCAGGTTTATTGACCTTGGTGACCTTGAAGTGGTCTGCAGCTCGTTCAGTGCGCTGCTCTGCTTTCTGCACATTGCATGCTGGGAATGACTGTAAGGCTGAGAGGATTGAGCAGGTAGAGAACAAATACACTGTCCTATACAACCAAGAAACACTTTTCATTTATGTCTAATAATGAAGAAAAGTACAGCATACAGATGTAGCAGCTAATTTAGGACAGTTTGAAACGTGAGGGTCGTGGTCGGCCCGTGAACGGCCGTGATGAAGAGCCTGCCCCCAGTCTGACTTGAGACCGCCCCCGTGATAAATAAATGTAATTATTGTGAAGCCAGCTGCAATGGATCATTGATCCACCAGGGGGTGCAGTGGGGTTCCACACTGGAGCTCATGTGAAATCAACTTCGATACAGTAAACTGGATGTACAGTATGTCTGGTACTACTGTATAGCGGATCTTTGTTAAGATCCATATGTCACGGATAGGATCATAGTCTGTGCTAAATAAGAGACATGTAATCATTTACAAAACATCACCATGTTATTTAACAAAATAATGTTGTTTAGTCGAAAAAAACGAACGAGAGGAAATGCAGCTGGCTCTCGATTTTTAATCCTAATTTAATCATCATCTTCACCACGATCATTTATGTTCATGTTCGCCGAATTGACATGAAATCACTGACAAATATGAATATTCTGTATTCAACTTCATTTAAACGTTATTAACGTGCCTAAACTCAGTAATTCACTAAAAATATTTATATTTTAATGGAGCCTTGTCAGGCAGATCAGGATCTTGATCCCTGGGTGTTATTTTTCCCCACAATGACCAAGTCGCTGCAAATTATCCCGCTTATTACATGGCCACATTCTCAACAAAGTAACGACATGACTCCCAATATTAATTGAAATGCTTTTATGGATTTAGAAAATGTTTTTATTGATTTAAAAAATAGTTCTATGTATTGATTTAAATTGACATGCATCCGCTAAGAAAAATAGTCCGTTGTTACCGTTTTTTAAACAGTCTGAATGCTGTGTGTTTACACACCTAATGGCCCATCAGCCACAGCTCTCTCTCTCCTCTTAGGCCCCACTCACACGGGAACGTTTGCGTTTATGCACAGTATGCGTATTCAAAAAAGTCTTCCGTTCACATGCATTCGTTTCATTTAACGTGTCTGTTCAAACGAGACCGCTGGAAACGCTGTAGTACATATGCCGGGACTGTAAGTGGCGCTGTAACTTCCGCCAAAATACACCAAAAGCAGCGAAGAAGAGCAGCCCGAGCAGCCCCCCAGCAATGTTGCCATGGCTACCCTTCTGTTTAAGCCCCGCGGTGTATTTAGCAACATGTAGTTCATGTAATTCTCCATGTCCACTTGTTGCTGATGGTTGTGGTAGAGGAGCTGTAGATTTTGCACTAATATCTGTAGCATGGTCAGTAGCAGTAGCACTAGCAGTAGCTACTGACAGGAGGAAGTGTGTGTGGCGATTGCTGGTATTCAGCGGGATATAGTCATTTCCTCAGCATATGGATAAATGCAACGGGGAAGTTAACTGAAAGAAACCGAATCTGTGGATATTGCATCGACCGACCAAGAAGCACGTCTCCGTGGAGAGGACCCGCTCAGAAAGAGAGATATTCTCTACAAACACCGGGTGAGATCCTCCTTTGTCAATATAATGGATCAATGCATGAAATCTGACTCTGTTTATTTTGTTTAAGGAGTATATTGGGCGTTAACAATTCTGGTTTGCCTTTTATAATATTATTTCATTCAAGAACCCCTTGTGCGTTTAATTAACACAGCTATTTTTGATAGTTGCTACAGCAGTGAGCAGGAGAGGTGGGGCTATCGTTATTTTTTCAGGAAATATTCGTATAGAGGTGATTACACGGACTCGGTTGACCCCCCAGAGCGTTTCGTTTGCAAATCTATCCACCTTGGGACCCGTTATCGTTTGTGGGGTCAGTTTCTATCGGCCTCGTGTAAATAATAGGGCTATACGCACGCGAAACTATGCAGATACAAGCCGTTTTCTCCTCGTGTAAACGGCGCCTCAGAGAGATGACCTAATCAGAGAAACTAAGACAATGAGAAAGAGGAGGGAAGTTCCCTCCTTACGTCACCGCCCGCCATTGATGAGGAGGAGTCACCACTGAGATATAGAGAGAGGTGACGGAGCTCTAAAGACACTTCTTTTTCTTCACCACGAGACTTGACCCCTTCACCCCGGCGAGGCAACAGCTGCTCTGTCTCTCCTCTTACCTTCTGCTTGTTGTATCACCGTGCCATTTAATTAAACTCAACCAATTTGAACCTTTCCGGAGACTCCATTAGTCTCTTCATTCTAAGCTTCTCTCCTGGGCGCGAGAACAACGAATACTTCTAACATCAGCCACTAACATATTCATATTGCTCTTCTCAAAAAGATAAATATGAACGTTAGTTTTTAACTGAAATGCTCAAATAAAGTCAAAATGTCACAGTGTTTACAAACATTGACCATACCGTTCACCAGCCCCCACCCCCCTGCCTACTGTAGGCCTATGTTGAGTATACTCTTTGTTTAAAACTAATTGTCCATCGGAATGTGTGTGTCCCAACCCCCCCCTGTGATATCTCTTCTCCAGCAGTCTGTAGGTTTGTGTTCGCATATTTATGCTGTCGCAGTTCCTAAATGACACGTTTACACCTTAAAACGATGTTTAAAACGAAAAGTAAACGTTCAGGGTTTTTATTAATGGTAATTTTCAGACTGTGAGTTGTTTAGTGGTAGCTCATATAGTCTTGATTCTTGTGGTTAAACTTTTCGGTGGCAATGGTGTTTTTATTTATTTATTCATTTATTTAACAGGGACAGTGCACATTAATGAACATTTCTGTAAATGTGCCAGAGTTAGCCAAGAGGCTATTTTTCATCTGTAGTCCCTGGACAGATTTTAAAAGTCAATCTAAAACACATTTCATTTTAAACAAGTAAATACAATACATTTAAAACATGCAACATACATTACTGGGATACTTAAATAAAACAATTTAAAATACAGAACATTAAAACAAAACAAATAAAACAAAACAAAAGAACATGTTAAAACATGTTAAAACACAGGCAGTGGGTTGTAAGCAGCAGAAGATTGGGTCACTGTTGGCAGAGCTGATTCCTCACTAACCATATTTTGAGTTTTGATTTAAATAAAGTGAATGTGGACTGGTCTCTGATTGGAGATGGGATTGAGTTCCATTGCTGAGCAGCTTTAACAGAAAATGAAGACTGACTGAAAGAACTTTTTCTGAGTGGAATAATGCAATCTCCTCTCTCTGCACCTCTTGTTACCCTAGTTGCAGTTGTGCGTATGTTAATAAACTGTCTAAGAGGAGGTGAGGTAAGGCCGTTGACAATCTTGTAAAAAAGGCAAGCATTTGCATGTTTACTGAGGTTTTCCCAGCTTAGTACTAAGAGTACTGATATGTCTACCCTTTCTTTTATGAGGGTAATATCTGCCTTTTCTCTTTTGGTTTGAATTGGAGAAGGGCAATGGTTATCGATGGTGCTTTTAAAGCCTATTGTATACTAACTGTGTGATTTATATTGCTTTTCAAATGCATATAGGCCACCCATTTACACTGCTCTTCCCGTCAAGAATATGAATAGAACTTAGTTAGATCGCTTCACATTGAGGGGAAGAGGCATTTTCCCATTGGTCCCAGTCCAGTTGGTACTTTTCACCATTCTCCCATATGTTACAAATGGCTGTCTAGCCCTGTTTGTTTTTTTGACCTTTCAGATGTTGTTGTATAGCCTCTGGAGCAGAAATGAAAGAGTTTTAAAAATGTTTACGTTTTGGTAAGTTTTTAGGGAAATGTTGTAATATTGCAACGTTGGCCTTAGGTGGGAGCAGAATTTCTGTATTTCTACTCACATTGTCTGAATAAATATATTGAACAACTAAGGGTTAATTTGCAGGATTGATTGCTTACTTAGCCCTATATCAGTATATAGCATGAATAATAATCACACATCACTCATATTTGTTATGAATAATCATTTATTAAATAGTAAGTCGCTTTGGATAAAAGCGTCAGCTAAATGCAATTATGAAAGCCTCACTCAGGATTTTTTTACCAAGTGTTTTTATTGCTCTTGGGGCATTAAAAACAAGATTTTAACTTTAGTTTTTTATATAATATCTGCATTTTCTCTTTTGAAAAACTAAGTCTTAGTTTGGCCATAGTTTGGCCACTCATTTTTAATCACACACGTCTCCCCATCCCATTCAAATTCTTGCCTGAAAGAGCAGTGTAGCCTACAGAACATGTAAATGGGTGGCATTGCCTATATGCATTTGAAAAGAAATACATGTAGTTCCTACCCCCCTCTGAGTGAATACCTGTTGACTTCACATCTTGCACTGTGATCTGCATGCACTTATCAAAACATTTAATTAGGAGCAAAACACACACTTCAAGTCAGATCATCACCCTTAGCTATTTTAATTACCTCTCAAACAACCTAAACTAGTTATAAATGTTTATTTTTACTGTCGGCCGGGTCACTCATTACTGGATCAGCTGCTGCATGAGACAGACACTGAAAAGTATTATCATCTGAAATTAATCATTATGTTATTAGTATTAAATACATATAAGTATTTTTACAGCTTGTATTTAGAAATGCTCTGTTGTAATTATTGATGCATAAATGTGTTCATCCATTCAATGTGGCATCTGCTATAATGGGGTTAATGTATGATATTACTTAATAATACAATACACTATATAATATATGATATGATAATTACATTTTAATTTGATTCATTTCTTATTTCATAGTTTCTCATCATTATTATAACAGTTCTGTTTCATATGAGTGTTGAGAGCTGTATCCATAAATCTCTTAATTTTGCCCTCAAAGTGCACCAGATTGATGCATTTAACTTCAATTTAAAGAAACACATCTTCTGTTGCCAAAGTGCTGTACATATAATAAAAATACCCTACAGTAAAGACACTTTACAGCAAATACAACAGCACAGTTTGTTCAGAATATCAGTATGAGTATGAGCACCCTCTGTCCTTAGACCCTCACATCGTACAAGGAAAAACTTCCAGAGAAAAACCCACATTTCAAAGGGAAAAATGAGAGAAACCTCGGGGAGAGCAACAGAGGAGGGATCCCTCTCCCAGGATGGACAGAAGTGCAATAGATGCCGTGTGTAAATCGAAGAGATAATACATTTTACAGCGTAGGTAGACCGCATGACAAATAAAGAAGTGTAATGTAAACATTTACATTATTATTATGATTATTTAATATATAAAGACTATATATTATTGAATTACAAGATTAGATATACTTTATTTGATCTAAAATATTGATGTGTTCAAATGCTCTTCTAAACAAAACTGAAAGTCCATGAAAAGTTGTCTTTCTGTATTTGTGAATGAAGCGCCATCTCCTGGTTAAATCCTGAAATTGAAAATCTGGCAACGCCCTCTTGGAAAATAGTGGGAGGGCTTAACATTCCCAGATACTGGTCTTTGGCTGGTCTTTGGCAGGTAGCTGGCAGATAGCTGGCAGGTAGCAGGCAGGTAGCAGGCAGGTAGCAGGCAGGTAGCTGGCAGGTAGCTGGCAGGTAGCTGGCAGGTAGCAGGCAGGTAGCAGGCAGGTAGCTGGCAGGTAGCTGGCAGGTAGCAGGCAGGTAGCTGGCAGGTAGCAGGCAGGAAGCTGTAAACTGGAGTCTGAAATAAGCTGCTACATCTGTAAGGATATTTCATAATCTAATAATTTCATCCCTATTGCAATGTTTAAAATATTGCTTGTGCAGCTTTATTACAATCTACCACTAGAGTGTGGACATGTAGTTGAAGTATTAAAAAAGCATCAATCGGCTATACTGTAAGTACAAGGACCTTTAATTGTTAAATTGTGTGTGGGAGCTTTCCATTATATTACACCTTTTTAAATGCAGTTGAATCAACAGTTAGTATATATATATATATGACTTTAGCCCTGTTTTAACTCATCGCCATGATTCAAAATAAAGGCAAACGAGTAAAGAGGAGAACATATATATTTTATTCCTTCTGTAAAAAAACAAAACATGTCTCAATTTTGAAGGAAGCAGAACTCACACTTCTGTACATAGTTATAGGCGTGCAGTCGGTAAAAATATGTAAATAAAAATGTGTACCAGCATCAAAATATACATTTATGGAAACATACATTCATGTAATCTGCGTGGAAATATTGATAAATATTAGACTGACAGAGGCGAGCCAATGGATAGACAGGATATGTTTAATGAGCTCTGAAAAGATAAGGAATCTCCACCCATGCTACACCTTACTGTAGCTTCACTGTGCAATATCAGATTGGAGGGGCGGATAATAAGGCTGGAGAATACAAAGCTGCTGCTGACGGATGTTCCGACAGGTGTTGGGTGGGGGGTGCGCAGTGTGCCTCCCCTCCTCAGGCCTCCTCAGGCCTCCTCATGCTCCATGGCGCTCTCTGTCGTTGCGTTCGCTGAGTTTCCAGCGATGTCGTTGGCGAGCAGCCGCTGTCGTTTCCTCTTCCTCCCAAATCCTCCTTTTTTATTCTGTCTTCTTTCTGATGGATGGAAAGCAAATTAAAACGGTAAATAGTACAAATACTTTGGTTTCAGTTCGCAGAGTACTTTGTTAGGCTATGAGTAGTGCAATACTTCTTTCTTTTTTCTTCTCACAAATCATGTCTTAGCACTTTCAAATAACTGTTCCCAATGTGCTCATCGCACATCTGTATTTGGTTACCGTTGTGTAACTGTATGGTTTGTTTAATCATTTATAAACAGCCTCACCTCAGGTGCTCCTGTAAGCACGGTAATGCTGCTGTCGCCCTCTTAGTATCATCTCTATATCTATCATTCTGAAGCTGTGCACACGTACACTATAGATACAAGTCTTGGGCCACCTACACATTACACCTACAGGAGCTTTTAGGACATCCCATTCCAAATTCTTAGGCATTAATATGAAGTTGGTCCACCCTTTGCAGCTATAACAGCTTCCACTCTTCTGGGAAGGCTTTCTACAAGATGTTGGAGTGTGTCTGTGAATTGTTGCCCATTCATCCAGAAGAGCATTTGTGGGTCAGACACTGATGTTGGACGAGAGGCTGGCTCTCCGTTCTAGTTCATCCCAAAGGTGTTCAATGGAGTGGGGGTCAGGGCTCTGTGCGGGCCAGTCAGGTTCTTCCACACCAAACTCACCCAACCAGGCCTTCATGGACCTTGCTTTGTGGGGCACAGTCAGTCTGGAACAGAAAAGGGCCTTCCCCAAACTGTTAACTGACATATTTTACGTCATAAACAAAACTTGAAAATCTCAATAGCTTGTTAGAACCACAGATCTTATTTTGAGAATCTTACCCAGTAAAAATTGTCTCTTGAGACAAGGGAACAGGAAGTGCTTATATGCTATCTTTTTTTCATCTGTGCAAAACTCTATGGATTACTTTTGGCAACTTTGAGGAAATAAGTAAAATGTGTCAAAAGACACTTATGTTTACATTGTTCTTAGTGTTATAAGATATAATTACTGTAAAATCATCTGAAACTATCTTTGAACAGAAAGTATATATTTTATTTCCCACAAAGATTTTTGAATGACGAGAATTAGGGATGGGAACGATTAATCGAATATTCGAATATTCGAAATTATTCAAGTATGAGAATATGAGAATATGAGTTATGAATATTTTCATTGTAATCTTTTTTCTTTTTTTTTTGGAGGGGTGCCTAAGTTGATTACATATACACATACAATGTATACGACAGTGCCATAGCTGAGTGTGTTAGGTCTAAAGGTGTGTTTTGCTCCGCTCACCGGTCCCTCACAGCGGGCAGAGCTGCAGGTGCTGATCTCTCTCTCGCGTCCGGTTATACTTCACTCGCGTTTATGTCCAAATCCATCAGATCTAGCTAGTTCTAGCTAATGACATGGCTGCTGCCCCTCCCCACACGCAGATCACGCAGACTCAAACCTCATCTTATGCCCAAATTCCAGCTGAGAGGGTCTTCTCTACAGCTGGCCTGATTGTGAAATACCTCCGCACCCGCCTCTCCCCTGAGTAGACATGCTCATATTTTTAAACAAGAATGAGTATTGAATAGCTGCATTCTGTGCATAGGCCCTGTTATAGGTTGTTGATCTCTGTTGTGATAGGGTTACGTTACCCTAACCCGTTATGTTGTTCGTGTATGATCCCTCTTTAATTTAAAAACCAAGTTATGTTTTAAGCATGAAAGCTGTAGGCCTATAGCTGTCAACTGTTCAAACTGTGATCACCAGTTCAATACATTTGACATATTCGACTTGGTTTCTATACTTATTTGAACATGTATTTATTTTTATTTTTTTAATGAAATTTCCCACATTCTTTTTTTTTTATAGGATATGTACATTTCGGTTAAATGGTTAACCGTTTTTTTGGGGGTCGAATATTCGAATATACATTTGCTTTCAAATTCCCATCCCTAACGAGAATAAGTATTATGGTTGTAAAAACCCTCAGCGCCAGAGTGAAAAGACGTCCATACAAGAACTGGGTGTCTTCCATTTCCCTGTACTAGATCAGTGTTCACCTTATAGGCAGGGGTGCACATAACTGGTACGCAGGTACGCATGCGCGGCAACAATCTGAAATGCGTAACGTCACTTGTGTCACAACGCGCCTTTGCGTACCTGATAGGTCATCAAAACAAAACACATATTTCGCCTACACATGTTTCTTGTCAATACTCAGTGGAGTAAATTAATAGACATGTCCAAAAAAAACAAAGACATTAAGCAGCCACTTTGCCGTTTCGCTCCCTGCTAAAATCTTCAGACGTTCTATGACTGATTGAACTGGGTGCTGGCCGTGCCGCGCAGGACATAACCGACGGACCTGTGAAGCTTCACAGGAGGCAGAGGCTTAGATCACTGGACGACAGAGTTGGTCGCCGTGTGCACAGACGGAGCTGCTGTTAACGTCGGTGTGTACAACAGAATTGTACCAAAACTACGTCAACTGGCTGCGGTGGGAGACTCCCCTGTGCACATTCTGTGCCCCGCGCACACACTGGAGAACTGCGCAAAATCAGCTGATCACAACGTTCACGCTCTGTGGTCAAGCTGCTGCAGTTTTATTTACAACAAAGTGGAGTAAAACACACAGCTGCAAACTTACTCAGGCTGTTAATGGAAGAGTTTGAAATCAGACAGAGGTGTTACTCAAGTAAAATTAGAAAAGTATTATCATCAAAATCTAGTTAAAGTAGCGACAGTAAAAGTAGTCATTTTGCAGATTGGTCCATTTCATAATAATGTATATGATATGTTTTATAATTATTGATCATTAAAGTGTTTAAAAATTAGTTTGAATGACTTTGTATACTGCAGGGTAGCTTGTGGATTTACTCCAGGTGGAACTAAAGTCTGATTTAACACTTGATTATATTTTCACATCATTCATCCACATCTGTAAAGTAACTAAAGGTATTAAATAAATGTAGTGGAAGAAAAGTACACGATTTACCTCTGAACTGTAGTGGAGTAGAAGTACAAAGTAGCATAAAATAGAAATACTCAAGTAAACTACAAGTATCTTAAATTGTACCTAAGTACAGTACTTGAATAAGTGTACTTTGTTACTTCCCACCTCTGAAATCAGATATGACTTCAAGTCATGTGATAATTTCTTAGTATTTGATCCTTCAACTTGGCCTCAGGAAATGCAAGGACTTCACAGTTTTGGCAACAAGTTTTGGAGAAAGCAAATCGGAGGCTTACAAAGAGACAGGGAGGTGCATCTTCATCATCTTCATCATCTAGCATGCAAGAAGTGTAAATAGAGGACAGTGAAGGAGACACTGAGGAGGACAGTGAGGAAGACTGCACTTATTAACACCACGCTTCATGTGGGGTGAGTACCAAACGCTGTCTCCTGGTACTCATCTGAGTAACTCACTCAAAAAGTTATGTGCACACCTGCTTATAGGCCTTAAAGTACCATAAACTGTCTGAATGAAATGTGTGTGTGTAAGACACCAGAAGCTTCCACTGTGCAGCTGCAGACCTCAAACAGCTGCTCTGTTACATTTATATATATTTATATATACAGTTTGCATATATTTCTCAAAGACAAACTGGCAAATGTTGGATTCAGTTCCTCTGACTCCCTCAATTAACTGTTAATATTTCAACACAAGATTTAGAAAAAGTGCTAATAGTGGCTTGAAACATCTTTCACACACTGTAAATGTTCTTCATGTTTTGGAGTTGAATATTTGGATACAGGGTAATTATCGTTAAGTGTTATGTAAACTGGTGTTGAGTCCAGTGTGTCAGTGAAATATTCTCAATTCCTGATATATCGTTTCTTGGAAAAGGAGGTTTTGGCCACAAAGAGAAAAAGCTTTTAAAATCTCAACACAGATCTGATGCGTTGCGAAGACACAGATAGATCAGATCATATAAAAGCCTGAGGACTTTAGATCTAAACTTTAGAAGGGTTGGACTCAATGAAGAAACTTTTACAGTCCATCATGAAATATCAGGTTAAACCTTATCCATATATCTATCATGTGCCGTTAAAGCAGAGTAAGCCTGGATAGAAAGATGTGGTTTTGATGTTCGGCGATACAGAAGATGGCTTCAGTATTTTTGGCTCCGGTTTAAAAGTGGAATAATTCTCTGTAATACACAGAACTGAGGTTGATTTAGAGGTTGGTTGGACATCAGAGGGTCAAAGTAAATGCAAGCAGAAAGGTCGGAATGATAAAAGAAAAAAAGCCTTTACCTCTCCTCTAACATTTTGCGACCATCTGCCAAGGGTAATAAAAAACTAAATAATATACTCCCCACAAAACAATCGATCTTGACCTGTTTCTGGGATTGAAAACATTCTTGCGCTTAAAGAGGCTGTATTATGCTTTTTAGGGTTTCCCTTTCCTGTAATGTGTTATACCGGCTATTGTGCATGTGAATGGTTTGCAAAGGCTAAAATCCCTGTGTTTATTTGATTTTTTTAAGGTTTTAAATGCAACATCTCAAGAACTCTAACAAACATTTGTCCACTTAGATTAATTAAATGTCAATTTTGGTCTTCAAAGATTACTGTGATTCCAAGTCCATCTACTCTTTTAAACGCGAGAACATTTGTCAACGTTGTCTGAAGATAGAATAGGCATTACAAAATGAGGGAATGATATGCAGCAATGACTTAGCGTTTGTACAGGGGTTGCCCGCTTACCAGGTGAGCTTCCTAGGGATTAAACACATGTTTTTTTAACAAACCATCCAACCTGAATACCTCTCTCGTAATATTACAGCAGTTCTGCTTTTGCCTCTTCGCGACACCCCGCTCCTGCAGATACACTCTCTACAACATCAGGATGATACGTCCACTACTGAACCACAAGGCAACAAAGGTTCTGTTCCAGGTTCCTCCTGGCTCGTAGACCTTCAAGTACCGTCCAACCTCTGTTTCAGCCCAACTGGTGTTCAACCTAAATTCTCAGACATTGCACCACTCCTTCGCTCCCGAGTTACGCCTGAATCCTCTTGAAGAAACTGGTACTGGCCTAC